TGTGTGTGTGTGTGTGTGTGTGTGTGTGCGCGTTGTACGTTGAACAGTTCACGGATCGCCCAAGAGGTGTCTCGTTGCAAGGGTGACGGCGCGTTAGGCGTACTGGTTCTTCTTGGATGAGATTGCAGCCTGGCTGCACCTCTCACCGGCCAAAGTTTGGGCAATTGGGTGGAAGTTCCCAAATGCTAAGGGTTGATTCCTTGTCCATTCTTTCCAACCATCGTTCTTTTCGAAAACCGGATTTGTTTCCCTGAGTTTCTAGAAAAGGTGGTTTTCTAGAAAGATTCGGATCCCTGGAAAGAAGGGAAGGTAGCACTAGCCACAAAACTGGTTAAACTCGGGGGGGCTCTGGTTGCTTCCTGGTTTGCTTGCTTGCGTGCTTGTTGGCTGGCTGGCTTGTGTCGTCTTTGTGTCCGCCTGCAGGTCCGCGCGTCTGTCTGGCTGTTTGTCTACGTCGTTTCGTTTCTTCCATGCGAATGTTTAACACACTTCTAGCTGTACCCTCATGTTCCATTCTCTTCAAGGGATCCTTCGCTTCAAAACATGCTTGCCAAATCCCTGGAACATAGGTGGTATCTAAAGAGAATGACGGGTGAAGCGAGTGGCGATTCAAACTGCTGCTTGCTGCTTGGCTTACTTGGGTATGCTGGCGACCGGTATCTAGGCGTCCTTGTTCAGGAGAGGTAAAGGGGCCCTTTTCACACGACAAAAGTCAATCGTTTAGCAGAGAAGGCGTTGGTGGAAAGCCACGTCAGCGGATGTTTTATCATGGATTCCTAGTGACTTAGTGGGGAGGGGGGGTCCCTGAATTGCCTGGGATAAGCCACAGATAGGCCTGGGATTCAAAGCAGTTCATCAGGGATAGATAGCCTTGTTTGGGATGCCAAACACAGATGAGCGCTGAACACCGGCTCGGGGTTTTTCCCCCAGTACCTTCACATCAGCCATTTCAACATCTGCCCCGTTCCCCGCGAATGGGGAAGCTACGTCCGGGCCGAAGCCCTTAGCGTCTCAGGTCGCGCCGTGCAAGGGCCACTTCCCGTCGCTGGGTGCGGAGCAGTTTGTGCAGCTGCTGGCGGCGCAGGAGAGACGGAGAGACGGATGAGCTGTTCCAAGAAGCTGGAATCTGCCCGAAAACGCAGAAAATCACAACCGTCCCCTTGCGTGGTTGTTGGTGGGAAACATGTTTTTGCATTTTTGCTTATTGTGGTCTAGTGGGAAATTCCCGCTTAACTGCAAACAAAAATTGTTGTTGCTCCTCTTCCAACGTCAACCAGGCTTTAGGCTTTCTAGTTTTCAGGGTTTAGTGGGGGTTTCCTTATTCAACAAACTAAGATGTTAGTTAAACTTATAGCATGGGATCTGAGCACAGCCCAGATGGGTGAGTGTTTTCCAGACGCACTCAGCACGATTCCTTCTATTTGCTGGGGAGCGCTTTTCGGGGGTCAAATGAGCTCATCGAGATGTACCCTCTACTCCAAGGACCTTTTATTTTTCAAGTTTTCGAACATCTCATCCGGTTCTTCAGAGGAAAGCCTTTCCGGCTTTTGGAACATCATGCAAATGTGTGGGTGTTTGTAGGGGTGTTGTATGGTTGTTGTACGGGTTTTCAAAAAAAAGAAATAGGTTTTTGGTTGGAAAACGTGCTTTTGGTAAGCAACAGGTTCAAAACCAGGTTCTTCGTTTGCATCCCTTTTTGTTATATAAAGGTTCTTGGAGTAGAGGGTAGGTCCTTAGGGCTCCCTTATTTCAGGGCTGGGAATTGTAGAATTTGCAGATTCCCTTTTGAGGTTGAGTCGGGAGGAAGGTGGCGTGGATTCCAGCAAGGAAACAGGAAAAGATTGATGTGGCTGTGGGAAAAATCAAACAAAAGGGGTTACGCAGGTTTTGGTCCATGTTTCCACTTACCAGGGTTCCATTTTGGCCTTCCTGGTTTGGGAAGGACAGTTGATACCCCTTGCCGCTCAGATTTGGCTTCCATGTTAGGAGCAGACGCCCAACACCTGGGTGGAAGAGTTCCAGCAGTGGAGCCCGCATCTTAGCACTTGGTGACGAAGCCAGCCATCCGGTTCCTTAGCTTTTTAGCCTTTTGGTGTTTAGAGTTAGTGTTAACCCACTAAAAGTTAGGGTTTAATTTTTTGCGTTTAGTTAGTCACTTTTAGCGGGGGATCTGACGGCAGCCCGATCTGTGTCATGATCCAGCCCAAGCAATTTGCGAGGGTCCAGCCGCTCTTTGCCTGGACCCCCAATGCACCGATTCCTGTTTGCTGCCTTTGACCCGTAAGGAAGCGGGGTGATTATTTTGACTGTTTCATGGTTGTCGTTGGGAAACATTGTACATTTTTGCTTATTGTGGTTTAGTGGTTGAAATCCCCACTTAACTGCTAAATTTTAAATTTTTGCTCCCCTTCCAACGTCAACCAAGGTTTCTGGGGGTTTTCAAAGTCAGAACATGGGGCGGTTGCCCTTGACCCCCACCACTTCGCGGGTGACTTTCATTGGAAGAAAGGGGCCCAAGTTGGCCGCTGGGATCAAAGCCATTTTGGTCGGTGAAGTCACCGCCCATTTTAGAGCCCATTTTAGTACGGGATGTTCACTAGGGGTACGATTTGGGTCTTCAGATTTTTTGCCCCGTGGAACAGGCAGCAAAAGCAGGCTAGTGTTCATTCTCCGAGCCCTTAGCTGACTGAGTCACTTTGGAGCCTTGGAAAAGCCCAGGGCACATTCTGAGAGGTTCTCAGAATGGGGATGTCTTTTTTTAGGGAACCCCCAAAATTGTGGTTATTGCTTTTGGTTCTTCTTGACACCCTCCGAAGATGGTTGGTACAACTTCAAGAATGCCATGCACGAGCCACCCAAGTTGCTTTCAGGGAGGTTCCTGTTTAACCCTGGGCTGGAATTGTTTGATGTCATGGCTGAGCCCATAGCAGGTGTTCGTGGAAAAGTCAAGGCTGAACTGACACACCCCACTCATCCAGGGATCGACTCTTCCATTCCCCAAGGAACAACTTCAAACTGTGCAGGCTGGAATGGCACACCTACCACACCCACGAAGTACTACTTTTTGGGGCAGGGCACTTAGGAAGTGAATAGTAGCCATGGTTATAACTTAGGAGACTTATAACTTATAACCATGGCTTTTGTGGGTTTTTACCATGGTTACTAGCCACTGACGTGCGATCGCTTCTTTAAGTCGTCAACTAGATTTCTCCCAAGTGATCCCTAGGCCCCCCAGTAGTGCCCTTTCTTTGGGGGAGGGTTCCCCCACTAAAATGGACTGCAGAAAACAATCGGGTACCAACTTATTCTAACCTCTTTACTGGAGGACCTAGCAACTTGTTCAGGCTTGGTTTTTGAGATGGGAAGCCTTTCTAAAAATCACCTCCAAAGCCACCGCGTTTTGGTCAACCCTGACTCGAAAACCACATTTCCGCTGAAGAGGCCAGCGCCAGCTTGCCAAGCCCCGCTGCGGCGCCGCCATCTTCGATGCCAGGCGCGGTATTGCCATCTGCGTATGGAGGGCTCTCAGGCTGTATGAGGGTTACATACCCGTCCATGTGCTGAAGTGAAAGCATTTGTTTCGGTAATTCAATCCCTTGTTGGTTTTGAAGGGAACATATCACTGGAAGTTTATCCTTGTTTCCTTGGGCGGCTTAAGCAGATGGAAGAACTCCTTGTGTGGAAAGCCCAAGCAAGGCTCCAAACATGGAACACCAGCGGAACAACAGCAGCACATGACCAGCCAACACGTGGGCAAAGCGGTCTGCATCCGTAGCTTTCGAGCTGCTATCGAGCCACACAATGGCTTGAATCACATGAAGTCGGTCAAAGTATCCTGCAGTCTATGGTATCTAGGTCCCCCAGCTAGGTGCCCTTTTACTGTTTCTTTGGGGAGGGTCCCCGAAAATAGACTACAGGAAAAAAATGTACCCTTCTTCTAACCTCTCTAGTGGAGGACCTAGGTATGGTGCATTTGGGGGGACTTGAAAAGATCCCACAAAAATGCTGGGAATTCACTAGTTTGTCCATACCCTTTAGTAAGGGCAGGCATGCAAGGTTGACAATGCCGCTGCACACGCATGTGAGCAACTGAAACTACTAAGATATTCGGTAGTGTACCCGTTGGTTTGGGCAGGACATGGCGGAACAACCCAAACTCCAAGAGGAACCCAACTGTCCATGTCCTTTAGCAGGGTTGTGGGATCAAGGGGTTTCTCCCCACTTCTGTGATACAAGGGAATCCCCCTTTCTATTAACAAAATAGTCTTTGGGGTTAGGCCCTTTCTGTTGTATCACAGATTCGTGGATTCCATTCCCCACAACCCTGTCCTTTAGGGCAAACAATTTTGTCTTGTCTCGGCTCGAAATCAATCTACTGGTGTTGGCAGGGCCTTAGCCCATTCATGAACTTGCACAAGGTAAGATGCATTTTCGCAAGAATATGTAATCTAAATTGAGGGCCTTGACTGTCTTGTTTTGGGTAAACTCGTTTCATGCTTGGTTCAGTGCCTTCTCTTTGACATCTTTGGCCGGTTCAGAGGCCAAGCTTTGGGTGACACAATAATATTCGGCAAAAGAAATGGATCCTACCTACCTTTCAGAAAGGTTCAAGAGCCCTTGCAGAACCGTTATTTATATATATTAAAATATATATATATATACATTAACATATTCTTTTTAATGTTTCGAGCATTGAGAACTTTTCGCTTGGCGCCAAAGGCTTTCAACCTACAAGTCGGCCAATCTACCTAGACTCTCCATGACCCGAAAACAAAAATCGGTTCATGACACCCCATTATTTTGGGTAATGACCAACCATTTTTTAAGGGTCAGAAGGAGACTCCAGGTAGAGGCGAACCTGAACCAAACCCAGACATTCCCTTGGTACCTTCTAAGGAGGTACTGAACGACCCCTTTTTACCCCCCCCCCTTTCAAGCCATCCTCAAGTACCAAGTCGGACCCTCTGGGAATGGCTGGTGGCTTTTTTCTGTAAATTGCCATGCCATGGCCGAGCGAGCGAGTGACATTCGGCCAAGCCGGGGGTCTCAAGGGGCAGAAGGGGCCTCTGAGTTTGCCCGGCATGCCCCAATGGCCAGGGTTTTTTCTAAGTCCTTTGACCCCACCCCCCAAACAAAGAACAATCCCCCCCCCCCCCGCCAACAAAAAGCACGCTCGCCCCCCCCCCCAACAAAAACACAACAAACGAACAAACAACAGCATTTAAACAAAAAGGACAACACATATATGATAAATGATAACAAACAAAAAACACATGTCATATTTTTCGGGTGGCAAGTGGAGCGTCCGAGGCAGGAGCGGCTTCTGATGGTCCAGAGCTTCCACCGCGTGTGGTGCTTCCCCGCCGGCAAACTTGAGGAGGGCGAGGAGGAGGCGGCGAAGCCGCAACGGTTGTTTATCTGGAGGTGCGAAGGTTTAAGTCGGGGATCGGGACGTTTGCATGAAAGTCCACGAATGGGTTTTCCACTAAACTACTAGAAACTAAAAACGTTTAGCAGAGCAGAAAGTCTTGAAATGGCTGTGGCTGTGCTGGCAATGACTCCTTGATTTGGAGGCCCGGTGGTTCTTTTTATTGTATCGTGAGGTCGGCATGGGCGTCGGGCTTAGGCTTGAATATTCGAGGTGTCAGGATGAAAATGCATTGTGCTCTATGCGTGTGTGTTGTTGTTTGGGGGACCACCTTTTGGTCGGTGTTTAAAGAATAAAATGAATCGACAAGGAAAACTACAAGTTTAGGGGGTCACATAAGAAAAGACACACCCATGTAAATGGTTTTGTTGGGCTTTCGGTTTTCGCCCAATTGCAACCGGAGCAAACATGCACAACTTGGTGTGAAGTTGGCTGGGTGTTTGATGCTTGGACCAGTCTGTGAACCTGGCCGCAGTTTTTGCATTTTTGTTTGTTAGGGGTCGGAAGCAGGTGCAGCCATTCCCTGTTGTGGACCTCCAAATCTGGCGAGCCCAACAATAAATTGCAACTTTTCTGGGGAATTCCAGTGATCCCTCTTGAGAACAGGCGCAGTCATTTTGAGCGTCTTTATTTTTAGCCATGTGAGCTGATTGCATAGGATAAGCAACGTGCTTCCCCGTGGTACTGTGGATGGACGAAATCCTGCACCACTTTGAAACCGTGGGAAACCAGTGCTGGTTGGTAATTACAGGGGAATCATCATTCTAGGGATTCTTGGGTGGTGCAGGATTTCGTCCATCCACATTAGGCATCGATCTGGTTTGAGGCGGGCCACTTGTTGCGGCCTCACTTCAGATGTAAAAGGCCTCCTAAGCTCAGTTGTCCAAAGCTGACCTGCCAACCTTTTGAATTTTCCTTCTGGGCCCATGTTTAGTCAAGGTTGCAAAAATTAACCCTTTTTATTGGGCAAGTGAGTAAGGTTCCTGATGTTTGCTTGAGGATGTCAGAGAGGCTATAAGACAAAGCAGGCATTGAAGCAATCCAAGATTGAAGCATCTTGGATACATGTGCGCCAACGTTACTCAACGCTATGGTACCTATTCATTTGCCTTTTGAATGCAGCCAACTTTTAGTTCAACGCACATTCTGACCGGAGCATGTGATCCATCAAATGACCTAGTGTGATTCCGAAGTTCAAGGGGCTGTGCTAACTTTCTTGTCCAGTTGAAAGTGCCTGATTCGACGAGTTGCTGAAAACTCTTGCTCAGATGGTCTGGGAGGAATCGCTAAATGGCTAGCTTTGCCCTGGTAGTAACCCACCAAAGCAATGGCTGTAAGTCCCCTGAAGCCAGGGTCACTAGCAGCAGCAATTTAGCTCAGTCCCAGACGATTTAAGAACGAAGCCGCGCGGTGGTTGTACCCATGACTTCTCCAAGCCCTGTCCGTGCAAATCAAAAAAACAGCAGCCGAGGGCAAAACGGTTTGCGTCGGTTCCCTTCTCGGATCCAAAGAGCAACGTCTCAGGTCGGTTGTTTATTCTTTTTTCTGCAAGAGTGACCTGTAAAACAAGAAGCTACAAAGGCTCAAAAGGCGGACAAAATGGGGTCCTTTGGGGGGTCCAGGTACTTTTGGGGCTGACTATTTTAGTGGCAACCGTTGAAAGCTTGGTTACTGTTTGGTCCAATCCACGAGGTGAGGTGTAAACAGACTGAGATGTGCAGGTCGACTGTGCGGTGCGGGAGGTCCAAGAGGAGCGGTGGTTTCGTCGACTAGGCTTTTTGGGTGAAGAGGACCCTTTGCTGATGAGTCGGGCGAGCGCGAGCTCGGGAGGTATTCCACTTTTTGAACCAGAATAGTTCGCGAAGAATACACAGGTGTGTTTGTGTGTGTGTGTGTGTTTGTGTCTGGTTTGTGTGTGTGTGTGTTTTTGTTTGGGAGGGAAGTGGTTCAATTGGGACACCCAAAGGACACTCTCACCTTTTTGCTGGCGTATTTGTCTATTTTGACTCATTCACCAAACCCAGTAGTGGTTGACTTCTTGCTTCCAGAGCCTGGCATGCTGACGGGTAGAGTTCCGGAAGAGCCTAAGGAAAGCGTTTTGACCAGAGCTACCGGTTCGGTGTTCCAAGCGTTTCATTTCGTGAGCCCAGCGGAGCCAACTCCTCTCTTAGGTTATTTATTTTTCTTCTGAGAGACACATAAAACAGTGTTGCAAAGGGGGGGAGTGCAACTCGTTTGTTGACCTGCAACTTAAACCAGGCCGCGAAGATAGTTTCGAAGCCATCTGAGTACATGTCTGCAAAGATGTGCACACAGGAAGCCATCCGCCAAAGCAAATGTTTATCGTGCAGTAGGCGGTTCGTTGACGGTTGGACACTGCAGAATTTTGGGGCGGGCGCTGAACAGTCTGTGGTTTCCACTGAACGCACCGCGTGGTGAGGAGATCGGGATAGACATCGCGGATCGCATCAATGAAAGGCGCCTTGCAGTTTAGTGCTGCTCTCGCCTTTTTCAAAGTGTTTCAAGACGTTGCAGCACGTTTTGATGTATGCAAGCTCCGTGGATTCGCTATAGTGCCACAGTGTAGCCTAGAATATCAAGTAAGTAACCAGCCCTTGTTCTGTGTTGTTTACGGGTGGTTCAGTGTGTTTCGGGGCTCGCGCAACTGCTAGAAGGTGTCACGGCAAGGGTAAATTTCCACCGTGGTGGGTTGGTTTGCACAGTCCCGCCACAAATGTCGAAACAAGCTGCGCGTCCTTTGGCAGGGTCTCTCACTACCGAAACTTGGCGGTTCCCAGTCGTCCCAGTGGGTTTTGAGCCTTTTAGGGTTCAATGGTAGTTTCCACAAATCCGCTACAAGGCAGACTTTTCGAAGGGATGACCATTGCGTGTGTAGACCCAAAAAGGGTTTCAATGTCCCATACTTAGATGGTCTGGGAGTTAGCCAAATGGCTAGTAACCCTGGTTGCAACCCATCTGATCTGACGATGCAGGCAGTTCGTGAAGTCCATCATCACGGACAAGCAGCAGCGCGCCATTCCCGTGAAGTTGCGACTTGTCGGAAGTACAGGACACTTTGATTCTGGGATCACAGTTTTGGCAATTCTGGGGGGAGGGTAGGAACGTCAGAACTAGGGGACTGCTTCCCTTTGGCTTTAGTTTTTTCTCGTCAATAGTTCTCAGAAGGGGCGGCGCACTGTTGGCTCATGGCCCTGTTTTTGCACGCCTTCAGCGACTTTGTGTAGAACCATGAAATCAAAAGACCTGCATGCAGGGCCCCAGTTGGTTGAACCTCGCCATTGACCCATGGCTTTGGTCCCGACGTAGCCACATGAAGGGAGTTGTGCAACATCCGATTTCACCCAAGTGTACATTAGTTGTTTGACACGTTCGTAACCTGGCAAACATTTGGGTGAAGAACGACCTCACACAACCTCACCCCAAATGGTGGTTTATTTTAATTTATGTCGGGGGTAGCCCCGCAACCACCGCAAGTTTCAAGGTGGGTGAAATATTATATTTCACCCAGAAACATGTCCACTTGGTTGCTTTATATATTGTCTGTTTTAGATGCGCTGCTGGGTGAAACACGGAGAGCTCTTTGGAGCTCTTTGGGTTTACGGCCCTATCCTCGGAGTCCTCTTTAGGGGATACTTTCAAGGGCTGGGACGGAGATATGGGAGGCGCTGTACCTTGAAGGGGTATATGGGTGTGTCATTTGTGGGTGTATGTCGTTGCATGGCTTTAAGGGCAAAGCAACAGGACACCGGCCATTTTGAGGGTTGCCCATTGTGAGAGAATATGTTGGTATAGAAGCATAGCTCGAGAGCCCCTACCTTGAATTCCACCAGAGGGTTCCAAGTCTGGACACCAAGGGGTGTCGTGTACTCTGCATTCACTGGAGAAGTGTAGGCCCCCCCAGCCCCGTTTTTGGCAAAACTACGTTTGCCAACTATAGCAAGACCATAGATGAGCGATTCGGGGTGCACCCGTCGATCGGGCTACATGGGTCAACTTGAACTTAGTGCCAAGAAAGGCCTTGCGCCCCGTTTTGGTCTTGCGCCAGGTTTCTTTGGTGCATCTTGCTTGGATGTTCGCCCTTAGGACTAATGGGTTTTCCGTATTAAACCACTAAAAGTTAAACTTTTGGGGAGCAGAAAGCAAGCAAGGTTTATCATCACGGGCATTCCCGAGAAGTCGAGCTTCAAGCCCCGCGTGAAGCAGGCGCCGGCCATGCGCCCTCTTTCGCTTTTCTTTCTTCCGTCCGGGGTGGGCAAAATCTGTGTCGTGGTGCCACCTGAGACCTCATGTGACACCCCTTTCTGCCACGAAAAATGGGGTCTCTGGGTAGACTTTGATCTCATTCAGACACACGTTGCTCTTTTTCAAAGTTGTGCCCAACACAACCTGAAATATTCCGAAATAGGAACCTGTTCAAAATAACAACCTGTTCAAAATAGCAACCTGAAAATGTGCCCAACCACGTTTCCCAAATAGGAACCAATTCCTAGTTGGATTGGTGTAGGGAATTGAACCCTTGGTTCTTGAGATGGGAAGCCTCCCCAAACCTCCAAACCACCCCGCTGCAGGCAGCCAGCGCAGCGATTTGCCGGTTCCTATCGTCCAAGAAAAGTCGTTGGATTTCTTCAGTCAGAAATAACTATTCCGACCTTTATGTGCAGGGACTACATTGACCCTTCTTTCCATGGGGACCATAAGGCCTATACACCATGTAGAAGTCCAGATATGTGCCAACTGTACTTATTGCTTGACTCTGCTCACTGGCTCTTACTCACTCTACTTCCATTTGCTTAAGACTAGTATCTTTTTGTTTCCCCGGCTGGTTTTTCTAGGGAATCTACCGCTGCTGGACATACTTTGTGCATGTTTTCCAGGACGCAACAAAGCAAAAGCTATGGAACTTGTTCTCTGACCATGGGCCTGAAGCACCTCCTCCTCCTCGGAAAGCATTTCCATCGCCCAAAGGCTCACGACGAGCGCCCGGGCTTTCAACATGGGTTGCTGTTTTTGGGAGGGTCCATGAGCGGGGAAGGCTCCTCGGAGAAAACAAAAAAGAACGAATCCATCGGGTTACCCATGTCCTGGGTTGCTGTTTGCTGTCCCTAAGGGTCGGACCCTGGGAGGGGTTCGGCTGAGCGGGGCGAGGGATTTTCATGCTTTCAAAGCTAGGAGATCGAGAAGATCGCCTGGATCCGGGTCTCCAAGTTGCCGGGCTGGGGCTCGGAGGCTGGAGCTGGAGCGTGTGCTTTTGTCAGGACGCAAAAATAAAGGCGGCTCGCCTTTCGTTATGCAATCGGACTCTTGAAAGGCTTGTGTTGCTGGAGCTGCGTGTTTTGTCAAGACGAAATGTACGCGGCTTGTCCTTTCTTCTTTGTGGAATCGGACCCCGAAAGGGGTGGGGGTTTTCAACTCTTGGTTCTTTGAAACCGCTACCAAAAGGGGTACCAGATTACCAACTCCAGGAAGACAGGACCCTTTTGGGCCGGAATCTGAGAATCATAATATGATTTTCAGATGAATATGTTTGCTGCAGCTCAAAGTTGGGCCTAGGAACCCCTGGGAGTGTTGCGTGGGGTTTTGGGTTAGGAAACTCTTAGCTGGTCTCCTTTTCTCTGGAGGCAACTCGTGTGAACCCTTTGCCAAATCCAGGTCGAAAGCCTTCGAGCAATCCACTGCCATTCGCGGAAAATCATATGAGCCACAATCAAAACCCGGGTAGATGAAGGTTAGTAAGGGACGATCCCAGCCAGAAATAGTTGCAGCCGCCTTCTTAATTCTTTACATGGTTCTGGGTCGACCATTGTTGTACCAAGTTTTGATTGAGACTCATATGTGTCTCATTTTTCCTGTCGGTTTTTTAATTGAATCTATCACTCCGGATTTGCTTCCGAGGGACTTGGGCAAATGGAAGTGAGCGCCACAGATATGATGTTCAGGCCAGCGGCCCTTTGGGCCTCTCGTTTTGGAGTTGGCATCTGTCTTTGGTTTCAAAGAACTATTTGGGTGTCCGGCTAACTTAGATGTCGGTAACCTGGGTTAGAACCCACTTGTAGGTTCCTGCTCAGTGAAGTTAAGAACCCGTCATTAGTGCCCGTGGCGTGGCGAACCACTGCTTTGGTGCATTTTGCCAAGGGATGTTAGGACTTCAACTTGTTGCCAACGAAGGGGTTTTCCCAATGAAACCACTGAACGTGAAAAACTTTTAGCAGGGGAGCAGCGAGAAACCGAGACTTGCGAACTTGGCGACTCGAAGATCCAAAGAGATCTGACTCTCCCAGGCCACCAACCTGCGCTTCCTGCAGATGGGAAGCCTTGTGCCGGAGCTGAAGTGCCATGGTGAAGAAGTCTCCCAAGTCTCACAGCTCCTCGTGTTCTTTTGCCTTTTGGATCCCCCAAGAACAAGGGGTTCGTTTGGGTTTGTTTGTTTCCTTTGGGTTTGTTGTGTCAACTTGGGGTATCTAAAAAGACCTGGTTTTCTCTTCGTTTCCTTTGTTTAGCTTGGCTGTTTGTTTCCTTTGAATTGTTAGTTTCCTTAGCTTTGAGACCCCCAAAAGAAGTCGACCTGTTGTGTTTTTTCCTCGTTTTTTGGGTTCCTTGAACACCCACCCAGCACCAACGCAGGCATTTCAACTACGCGCCCAGCACACCCGTGGGCATGTTAGTCGGGGGTTCCACTATGTGGTTTCACAGGATAGTAAGGCCGAGACGACAACTTTCACCATATTGGTCGAACAGTATATGCCAATGTGTGTAGCGTGCCCTTACCCTGCTTGCAGGGTTTCCTCGTTCTTAAAGTTCTGACCGAACCGCTCTCACACCCTGAGTTCCTGGACTTTGTACTTTTGGGAAGATCGTTTTAGTGATAAGGGTGTGGCTCAAAATTAAGCAGGAGGGGTTACGCAGGTTTTGGTCCATGTTTCCACTTACCAGGGTTCCATTTTGGTACCGGTTTTTTGAGCCGCAGCCATAAACAAACATTTTGGACATTTTGTTTGGCCAGTCCACTCTTTTCTCGTGGTTCGGGTTTTCCTTCATGAAGACCAACAATGGCGTTCCCCTGTTCTTCACCGGGAAAATCTGTCGATTTGGGCTGCTGATTCCTTTAGTTGGCTGGCAGATTCAGTTTTCATGTTGATGTTTGCATGGTTTTGGGCCCAGGTGTTGGGTGGGGTGGGGTGGCATTGCCTCGAGCGTAAGCCATGAACAACCGTGGGCTCAACTTCACTCATTTTCCTTCACTGCGCTTAGTACGTGTTTTTGTTTCTTTGGGAAGAACAAAGCGTTTTGCTGGCATACTGGAGTTGAAGAAGCTTGGGTTCCTCTTGAACTAAGGTGAGCGAACCCATAGTAGTATGCCTCAGAGTTGTGGGTAATCACCTTGAAGTATTATATTTCTTTGGTTTCCCTCTACCGTCCAAGGACCATCGAATCCCAGGTTGTTCCGTGGCACGTTTTTCCGTTTCGATTTGGTTCCCCACAAGCAAAAGAGCCGTGGCCGACTCCGGTTTTTGCTTTCCCCAGGTTCGGTGGCTCAACCAAAAAATATCAAAAACAAAGACCTGTTTTCCCTAGGTTTGGTGGCTCAGCCAAAAGCAAAGACCTGGCTCGCAACCCCCCCCTTCCCCCCCCCAACATCCCCCAACAAAGAAAGTCCACCCGAATCAACCTCAGCCACATGGCCAACTCCCTCCGATTCCATGTTCCGCTGGGTCCTCTTCTAGGTGCCCCCAGCTAGGTGCCAACTTTCTCACCCGTTTCTTTTTTGGCTGAGGGCTCCCCTACCAAAATAGACTACAGAAAAAGTTGGTCGCCTTATTCTAACCTCTCCACTGGACCTCGTCTTGAAAGCCTCGCTGAGGCGCTGGCTGTCGCGCGGACCCGAGGAGGTGGAGGCGTGTCACCTGACTGTCCAGGCCCTGGTTCAGCACGGCCTCCAAAAGAGATCTCGGGGAAAGGAGGCACATTCGGCCTGTACTCAAGTCCCCGGAGGATGAGGCCTTCATGGGATTTCTTGGGAGTGGCATGGGAGGGGAGGTTGGAATGAAGATGGGGGAAGACGACCTTCCTTTGGGGAGGCCGGGCAAACCAATGGCAGCTGACTCGCTGGGAGGGTTTCGGAAGACGAGCCTTTCGAGCCTTTCCCGATCGTTCGCTTGTCCACCTCCATGATTGGGCGCAGGGGGGGTATAGAGTTGCGGGTCGACGCTCCTCTCAGGTGAGAGGAAGGAAGACTGACAATGGATAGGCTTCCATGAGTACCTATAGACAGGGCTCCTTAAAAGATACATTTTGCCAATTTAAAACATCCACCAAATTCAAGGGAAACCACCATTTACAAGGGAATGTTCAGGTGTATAATGTAAGGATCCCTGCTAGAGTCTCCATGACCCGAAATAAGCATAGGTCCATGACCAACCATTTGGGGGAATGACCAACCATGTTTTAAGGATCCATCTATGATTTGCCATGAAGATCAACCATGTTGGACCCACAAAGCAGGATTTAGATCTTTTGTACTGACCCGCCATTTTTGACGAGGGGGTCTACTTCTCCAGGGTCGGAAGGAGACTCGAGGTATGAAAAGCCATGCTTTAAGGCTATCACCTCTACGGATCCAAAGGCAAGGAATGAAACAGAGCCCGTGGTCAGAAGGGCCTGAGATCTGGGAATCCATCACCCCGGGTGGCCATGAGCGCAAAGATGTCTGGTCCGGTTTTTTTTTGGCAGGCCTCGATTTTGGGGTTCGAGGTTTGAGAACCTGGAGTCTCCCTCTGACCCGAAATGAAAGTAGGGTCCATGACCCCATTGAAATGACCAACCATTTTAGAGGGTCATGGAGACTCTAGGTATACATATATATATATATATATATAGACATGGATTAACATGTCCGCCACCTACTTCGGAGCTGGTTTTTGTACTGAATACAATGAAACGGGTTCCTCCACTCTGCACGGGAGCAAAAGAAGCAACTCGCTGGTCCGGACGAAGGCTTGGAGCTTCTTTGGAATGCTCTGCTATCTGAACGTAGTCCCATTTTGATGGGTTCTCAAGCTCACTCTTGGGCTCTGGTGGGTGTCCTTTAAACCATAAAATTTGTATGGTAATCTTAAGAAGGCTTGGATGATTTGGATTTTTTTTTTTTTTTTTTTTTTTTATAGTAAATTTGGATTGGATATTAAGGTGTCACTTGGTTGGGCTTGTTGAAGTACCCTTCCTTCCTAGAATCATGGCACCTGACAATGGGGCCCTATGAAGGAGGATGCTATTCTTCCAGGTACCCTGCTGCCACACCGGCTGTTCCCTCTTGCCCGGAGCACCAGCAAGCTCAAATCAGAATTTGGATGGTAGTTTCAAACTGTCGCTTGGATGGACTCCCTGAAGTACATGGAATTGGTCCCTATCAAGGAGGACACTATCCTTCCAGTGGTCCTGCCACACCTGTAGGGGTTGATTCCCCCTACTTTTCAACCATCGTTCTTTTCAAAAAGCGGATCTGTTTCCCCAGGGTTTTGGGTTGTTTTGTAGAAAGATTCGGATGCCTGGAAAGAATGCACATGGAAGGTACCTCCCCCCCTCCCCCCCTTCCCCCCCCTTCCCCCCCGTCCCCCCCTTTGTTGATACCCAATAAGATACCCCCAGGTACCCCTGCCAGTGGATCTGGAGTGATCCCCCTTGTAGGTGGTCTTGGATGCATCTTTGCGGATCCCAGGTATGGTTTCCATAGGGGACGCTTTCTGCCGCACCTGTAGGGGATTCTGTTTTAACCGTCGTTTTTTCAAAAACCGGATCTGTTTCCCCAGGGATCTCTCTTGTAGGTGATCTTGGATGCAGCTCTGCGGATCCCAGGTGTGGTTTCCACTAAACAAAACACGCCTCCCCATTCTTAACCCCACTCCGACTCTTTCCAGAACTCCCTCAGAACCCCGGGGTCCCGAAACAGATCCGGTCTTTGAGAAAAGAACCGGCGGTGAAAAAGAATGGGCCAGGAATCAACCCCAAAGGGATCTGTGCCACACACAGAAGGGCGGTAGTTAAAAAAACAGTTAAAAAAAAGAAAAAGAACAAAAAGGTAGCCCAAAAGAAATCCAGGGAGCCCTGCCACACCGGCCTTGCCCCTTTTTCGGCTCCGTGCCCAATCTGAGCCTTCGCGAGGCGGATGCGCCTCTGGCCTGGCTGCACCTCGGCCGGGCCTTGGACGCCTTCGACCGCGAGTGGAGCGGGGAAAAAAGGCAAGCGGAGCGTGGCGCGGAGGTGCCAAATGGCTGTGACAAGCAAAACCCGGTTTGATGAAGGTTAGTAAGGAATAATCCCAACCAGACAAATGGGCGTTTCCTTTTTCTCATTTTCCAGCAGGCTATTTGGAAGATTCGCTTCGATTTGGCAGGTGTGGAAGGAAGGTGGTTTGGGGGTAGATGGTGCACTCCTCCATTCCAAAGCTAGGTGTTGGAATCCAAGAGAGCCGCGGCGGCCTTCTTAATTCTTTACATGGTTCTGGGTGAACCATGTTTGTACTGGGTTTTGATTATGGCTCAAATAGCCTTGACATGTGGGCGCGTCGACTCTTATTGGAGGCTTTTGGGGATCCGATTCCTACAACAAGACCCGCCCATTTATTTTGGAGAGGTCAACCGCCCGCCAAATTGAAACAGCGTGCATTGATGCATGCGATGATCTGCTTTACACATTGGAGAAGTGTGATAACACATGCCATGAGTAACAGAATCATTGTACACCAATGGATGAGGGGCCAAGCAATTCCAATCATGTATTCCCACGGGATAGTAGCACCCCGCAAACCCGTTCCCACGGTTTCGGCTGCCGATGAAAACCGCTTCGGCCAAAAGGAAAACCGCCTCGAAGGTGATGTGGACAACTCCCCCGAACCGGACGTATTTTTTGGAGCCGTCTTCTAGGGGTAGCTTCCATTTCCATTTTTTCCAGGGATCCGCATCTTTCTAGAAAACCACCCAAAACCCTGGTTGGAAGTGGCGATCTTTTTTTTTTGAACAGAACGATGGCTGAAAAGAATTGACAAGGACTCAACCCCTAGACCTGGTTGTTGTTGGGAAAGATTTCGCTCATTTTTGCTCATTGCGGTTTAGTGGTTGAAATCCAAATCCACTGAACTGCTAAAACTTGTGAGATTTTTTGCTCCCCAAACCCAACGTCACCCAAGTAGACGTCTGAATTCTTTACCCGGATTGACATGGAGCCCGAAGCTGTGGAGGCAGCTGCTCTTGGCGGAGCCTTTTTTGGTCTCCACGATCTGAGTCACTTTTAACTGCAGACCCTAACATTCTTCACTGGGTCCCTCAGCAATTGGTGCCCGAGCTCTCACCCGTTTCTCTTTTTTGGTGAGGGTTCAATTCCCTACTAAAATAATTTCAAAAATTGGGTACTCTCATTCTAACCTCTCTACTGGAGGACCTAGCTCGTCGAGGTGTTGACTCCTGAGGTTGATACCTGGGAGCATGCCGCGGAGCACATGCCATGAGTCTTCTACTGACCCCGCGTTGATACCGTTGGAGCATTTTGCCAAGGGATGTTGGACCGAATAACTCTTTGCCAACTAGTGGGTTTTCCGTATTAAACCGCTAAAAGTTAGTCACTTTTAGCAGGGGAGCAGAAAGCAACCGAGATACGCCTGTCCTATTATTGGGGTGTGTTCCCTCCAAAAGTGGTTTGAACCCCCACTAAAAGGAATTGGCCAACCTTCTCTATTGATCAACCAGTTTGTTTGTTAATCGCGGGTTCCCATTACGCTCAAGAACCACGACATTTGTAAGCCCTGGTTTAGCGGGTTTTCATCATTTTTGGAGGCGTACCCGCCCCCCCCCCCCCAATTGGTAGGATAGGTTGATTAATCTGGGGTCAAGTTGGTCAAATGAGACAGACGCAGGGCCGGCAGTGGGCATCGGGATTCACATTGGCTTGTCTTGGCGGTTCAATCGGGCCTCGAGTCTGGTTTTCGAGTTCGGGGGCACTAAAAGTTGGGCTCACTTCCTGAGTTGGTGGACTTTAGTCACTTTTTGGGGCTGGACCATTTTAGTGGTAAATAGAAAGTTCGAACTTTTTTTGGCCAGTCAACTTGGGAAGTGAGTGGGGATCAGTTACAGCCCAGGTGCTTCGGAAGCTTTTGCATAAGGGCGGGGCTGCAAAGGGCACAGGACTGCCTCACGCCTCAAGGAAGTCTCGTGTTTGTGTAGGGAAACTGAAGACCTGACTGGAGATTCTCCCGACCCGAGCTTGGCGCGAGGCATACACCTGGATTTGCAAAGGACCCCCTTGGGGCTGCCCTTGTGCAACTTGAATTTTGGGTCAAGGGCAGAAGAAAAGGGGTCCATTGTGAGTCCCTGGAGTCTCCATGACCCTTAAAAAAGGGGGTCATCATCCTAAAAAAATGCGGTCATGGACCCTATTTTTTGATTCGGGTCATGGAGACTCCAGGTCCAGGTCGACTGTTTGAAGGCCTTGCATCCATCTCCGCCGGGCTCGCTCGCGAGATCCGTTTGCTCAAAGATTGGCCCGGATCGACCCATGGAAGAGGCCTCGGGACAAAACCATCGCATGGATTGCACAGACCTCCTTTTTTTGGAGGACTGTTTGGAGGTCTGCTGATTGGACATTCTCGAGCCAATGAGAGAATTTAAGCAACGGACAAATACTATCAGGGCAGGGTGTTCGTTCCAGTTGGGTATTATTGGTGTTGCAGGTCGGGTATCAATCTTGGATAGTCCCTCTTGCTTTTTGGTGATGATGTTGGGAATTGTGGCTGTTGTGAGAATATGTGAATAGACCGTGCTCCGAGTTCCGTTCCTGAAACATAACAAACAGCATTGATTAGGTGTCCTTTGGTCTCCCCACATACTAGCTTATACGTTTGTTGTTTCCAGGGTGCTAATACAGGGACACCCTGTGCCAGGGTTTAAAGGGACGCGAACAGGATGATCCCATGATGGCCCAGTTTGGTATACTTCCATTTGCGGAACATATTGTTGTATTTGCTTTTTTCTTCCCCCTGTTGGTTATCAAGGAAATCAATCCCCAGTGGAAACATGTTTTTCTGGGGGACTCAAGCAATCAATGGAGGTATAGGGTTATATCCCGTCGCGGTTTGACAGTGCCAGTTGGTTCCGCCTGTTGCCCCGGCCGCGAGGTGAGCTGGGGAGATAACAAGGATGGAGACCTGGGAGCAATGCCGTCCTGCAAGGACGATGAGAGTCTTGGCCAAAGAACGGAGCTGCATTTTGCAAGGGATGTTGGGACTGAATAACTTTTTGCCAACTAACGGGTGTTTCGCATTGAACCACTAAAAGTTAAACTTTTAGCAGGGGATCAGAAAGGATCCGAGAGAACGTGCCACAGATTTTGCGACAACCTTCGCTGAGTAAGCCCCAAGTAGGTTCAAAGAAAAGCGGGCTTCGACCCACACAAGCAGCCAAGAGTTCAGCTGTATTTGTTGCCTAAACACCAAGGACATGTTTTCTTATAAGTATATGCTTACTCTGCTGAAGGCATTGCTTCATGGAGCGTTTGCGCTTGTACTCCCATTTCAATCAAGGAAGCCTTTGCCGCACCGTTGGGTTTTGTTGGATGTCTATCAGTTTGTTTTTTTTTGGAGGGGGGAGATTGACAGGCGAATAGAATGACCATTGAGTTTTTTCGTTGTATCGATCGTGATTTTAGTGGAGCGAGCAAGACCATGCAGTTTGATGCCGGGGCCATGTCCAAGAAGTGCCCAAGAATGTAATGCTTAAAGGGGCATTGTACTTGGTAGGTGTTCAGTCACCATGGTTACAACCCACTTACCATCTCCTGAGTGGGTTATAACCAGTCTTACTTAACCACTTACTAGGCGCCCTGCCCCTTGCCGGGGGACGCCGTATCGGGTTTGGATTTCAGGCAGCTTCTGGCAGAAACAAAACAGCCCGAAACAGCCTGATAAATCGGATACGCTGGGAGGTGTGCGCCAACCAAAAAAAACAAGAAGCGCGAAAGTGCCCGGGAAACACCCCGACCCTTCGTTGAAGGCCGCTTACTTGCCCACTTTGGCTTTAGCCCATCTAGCTTGATTGCAAAGAAAGTCTCAGAATGTGTGTGCTGCTCGGGTGCTGATTCGCTTGTCCGTGCTTGCGGAAAAGTGCTTAAGATATACCCAAAGAACCAGCGGACCTCTGATTTGCTGCCTTTGACCCAAGTTGCACAAAGGCAGAACAACCCGGTCCTTTAGTCCAGGTTCCCCACTTTTTTTTTCATACCCTCATGGGTATGGGAGCTGAAGCCACCGGGAATTGGACTGCAGGTTAGAGTCCCTATTTTCCAGGGCGGCCCATGTTTTTTTGGGATCACCCCATTTCCGACCCACAAATGGGGATCCATGACACGGAAGAAACATCCCTCAACGCCCTCCAGTTACGTAGTGCCGTTGGCTTAAGCCAAAGCCAAACCACAGAGATGTTTGTATCACTTCGTCTCACTTCCTGAGTTCCTGGACTCGAGTCACTTGGGCCTAAACCATTTGAGTGGCAAACAACATGTGGCTGTTGCGGGACTCTCCAAGATGGTTTTTCTTTTGGTTTTCCTTCGTCCCAAAAGGGGTAGCCTGAAAAAAAAAAACCACACCCATTCGGACTTGTTTGGGCCCAATCCGCGGAAGTGAGCTGTGAAATGAGACAACCTGAACCCTCAAGCTACCCATAAAAAAGTGGAAATCCCCAATACTTTTATGGCCATGGGGCATAAGCCTATGGCTCCATTTTGGGGTGGATGAGCATCCATTTGCCACCTATGCGCACCAGGGGTACAGGGTCTTGACCGACAGCTTTATGGCAATCGCCCGTTAAAATAAATATAGCAATGAGGGTTTCAGGTCCCGTCGCCAGGAAGCTGTCCTACCGACGCTTGCGGCTTCTGGGTCAAGGCTCCTTCGGAAAGGCCGGCGGTACGTGGGTTGACATGGGTTACACGTTGCTTTGCTCAAATCCTAGCCCAGAGGGTCCAAGTACCTCATGAGTATGGCTTTTGGGGGGAAAAAAGGGGTCTAAGTACCTCCTTGGAAGGTACTTGGACCCTCTGAGTAGGGCTCCTTGCCCCCATGAAAAGAAAGCCCTTGGGACCCAATTTGGATGAGAATCCTGAATGGTAGACCATGCTGGTCATATCTTGGCCCCCATGCTTTTTAATGGTTTCAATCCCCAAGGGAAACGACCGCTGACCTGTCGGCTGGTCTTTTCGGTCGGGGGGCAAGAGGCGATCAGCTTTGATTTCCGAGTCCCCTTGGAAGCCCAGTGGTCCCCCAGCAATTGGTGCCAACTTTTACCGTTTCTCTTTTTGGGGGAGGGTTTTTATCCCTACCAAAATAGACTGCAGAAAAAGAATCGGGTACCAACTTATTCTAACCTCTCTACTGGACCTAGAAGCTGAGGTTGGCACCTGCGATACCAAAACCCTGAGATTCAATCCATTGAAACTAGGGGGGCGAAAATACAACCACTATGGTTTACCTAAGGATTGTCATCATCCAGATTGGGTCAAACTTTCATTTACTTCCTGAGTTCATGGACTTTAAACTTTTTGGGAAGACCATTTTAGTGGTACATAAAAAGTTCAACAAACTTTTTTTGGCCAACCCACTCGGGAAGTGAGTTCTTTTAATGGGGGTTGAACCCTAGGGAAAAGAGCCCTCGACATGGAAAGGAGCCAGACTTTCCACCGCCAAACGCGCAATCCGATCTGCAGTGCTTTTGCGCGCGCTTTTGCGCGCGCGCGCGCGACACGCAAGGGTCGCGAGACATGCGATGTTTCATGGACATCACTGATGTGAGGTCTACCAAAAGGTGATTTTGATCATACACCTGTGCGGTTTGGAATCTCAATTGTTTGCATACGGAGATTCTGACCTAGTGATGGGTGTGTGGTGTGATTTGAAAGTTTATGTATACTGAGGGTACCGTCGTTTGGTGGTTTCTTATCGGTTTGTTGTGGCGACATTAGCTGCTGTGTGTTCCAATCTGTGCTTTGTTGACGAGCGCAAGACACAAGATGTATGCAACATCAGAGGCACTACCATGGGTGTCCTTTTTGATAGTTTTGGTAGAAGATAAATGGCCCTGGTTGACCTGGTCGCTATTTCCCACAAGGACATGAACACGATTTGGATGCGGTTTTTGTGGATTTCTCATGCTCTTCGCCTGTTGATCATTTAGTACTCTTTTCCCACAGGAGTGGATCCATCGATTTGGATGCGGTTTTTGTGGATTTCTCATGCTCTTCGCCTGTTGATCATTTAGTACTCTTTTCCCACAGGAGTGGATCCATCGCCACTTCACTCTTCTTGGCTACTTCTTTCTTTGGTGAGCTGTTCATGTTTTTTTTTTCCGATTGGGGTCTGCAAAAAACACGGCCGTGTCAAGTTTTGTTGGCTCGCCCATAGCGTTTTCGGTTATGAAGTCCGCCTCCAATTCGTTTAGAGTCTCAGCTGATCTCCATGTTCAGTCGGAGGCGTTTTTAGCGCGAGACCTCTCGAACAACGAGCTCGTGGTCATGAAGCAGGCATCCTGGTGGTACCGAGTTTTTGGTTTTTTTTTCCTGCTGAAAAATGGGTGACTCGTCTTTTTCCCGGAGTTGGTAGCCCCTGTTGCTTGGTTTTTGGGGAGTGGCGCCATTTTTTGGCTTTCCCTTGGTTGATTGGGGAAGAGCCGATTTATTCCATCAGGTTTGGGCCAACATGAGGAGACAGCCGATCAGAGGGTTCAAAAAGCGTGCCAAAAGCAGCCGAGCCACCGTATTTTTTGTCTTGTGGATGAGGGGAGCCCCTGTTGGTTGGCTTTCAAGGGAAATCAAAAGGAACACCGTTGCAAGATGTTGCGTTTTTTTTGGGGGTCCCCTATTAGCTATAAGGTTTCCTCGCTTTTGAACTCCCTTGCAGTGTTTTTGAGATGAGCTCGTGGCAACCCCGGATTTGCAACAACTTCTGGCTGAGTATAGGCTTCGGGCGGGATCCCTTTCAGTGGAAAGCCTTCACTTTAGGGCCTCACCCTTATTGGTTTAGTCATTCAGGGTTCCCGTTGTCGAACAAGGAACTCCATACCTTTTGTTGGAGGTCTGGGAAACAGATGCGATCCAACAAAAGGCGCGCGTGCTTCGAGTTGGCCCAGGACAAGGTATGGCTCAAAACGAAAGAGGCAGGGCTGCGAGACCTTCTGCAGAAACGTCTCCGGTAGTCTCTGGCGCGTGGCAGTGGCATGGTGAGCGCATGCTGTGTGGTCTTTGGGGGCTGGGGCTCTCTTCCTTTTCGGGGGTTCCAGCTATTGGAGAAACCGTATTTGGACGAAGGGCTGAATGTGTACCTGGACCTTTCACAATTCCCTTGAAAGTTGTTTTTTTGCTTCAAAATCATGAGTGGTGAATTCCATTTCTGTTTTATGGGTAGTTTGAGGGTCCAGGTAAACTCATTGACCTGGACGCCATTCTTAGCGCATGCCTTTTGAATGCCCCTGCCGACGCTGGCCTCACTTCTTGAAAGGAAGCCAAATGCGAGCCTTCAGAATGAAGGCCAGCCGATTGAGTAGAGCCTTTTGCATGCCCCTCATGCGGAATACTCGAGCGCGAGCGGCTCATGCGAGGTGCGGGTGGAGAAGATGGACGCCAAGGCCCGTGACACCGCGGTGCGGGAGGCCGTGGCGCTGCGCAAGGTGCGCCACCCCAACGTGGTGCGCTTCCGCGGCCTGGCGTCGAGGGAGGGGAGGTTCGAGGGAGTAGGTGTCCGTTTTAGGTTAGTGTGGTTAAAAATAGAAGGCACTGGTTTAGATTGGGTTTATTCCATTCACCAGGGCCATTTTTTTCCAAAAGGACACCTATGGTCGAGGGGGGGAGAGTTGAGTGGGGTGGGAGTCGTGTTGGTTTCGAGGGAAACCGAAGGCAACCACGGGCTGTAAAGGCTTCACTGTTCTTGGAGCAAGTTTTGCTTGTTTTTGCGTCTTTGTTTTCCGGTGCTGTTCATTTTTAGTAGGGGGCCTGCACTAAACATCAAGTCTGTTGCAAGCATACCAAGGGTTTTGAAGAAGGAAAACCAAAGGAAACCATTCTGTTTAGGGATTGTCCTGTGTTTGACACATTCGTATGCTTTGCCTGGTTTTGGAGAATTGTCTAACATCCCTCTGTTGGTTGCCAAGTGTCCAGTGAGTTCCCTCTCGGCGGGGTGGTGGTTAAAGGGAAAATATCGGGAACGCTCGAGGATGGGATCGGACACTTGCCGATTGTTTGGAGGGCGCTCGATGAATTAGATACATGTGTGAGTGTGTGTGTGTGTGTGTGTGTGTCTGTGTGTCTGTGTGGCTGTGTGTCTGTGTGTCTGTGTGTCTGTGTGTCTGTGTGTCTGTGTGTCTGTGTGTCTGTGTGTCTGTGTGTCTGTGTGTCTGTGTGTCTGTGTGTCTGTGTGTCTGTGTGTCTGTGTGTCTGTGTGTCTGTGTGTCTGTGTCTGTGTCTGTGTCTGTGTCTGTGTGTCTGTGTGTCTGTGTGTCTGTGTGTCTGTGTCTGTGTGTCTGTGTGTCTGTGTCTGTGTGTCTGCGTGTCTGCGTGTCTGCGTGTCTGCGTGTCTGCGTGTCTGCGTGTCTGCGTGTCTGCGTGTCTGCGTGTCTGCGTGTCTGCGTGTCTGCGTGTCTGCGTGTCTGCGTGTCTGCGTGTCTGCGTGTCTGCGTGTCTGCTGTGTCTGCGTGTCTGCGTGTCTGCGTGTCTGCGTGTCTGCGTGTCTGCGTGTCTGCGTGTCTGCGTGTCTGCGTGTCTGCGTGTCTGCGTGTCTGCGTGTCTGTGTGTCTGTGTGTCTGTGTGTCTGTGTGTCTGTGTGTCTGTGTGTCTGTGTGTCTGTGTGTCTGTGTGTCTGTGTGTCTGTGTGTCTGTCTGTGTGTCTGTGTCTCTGTGTCTCTGTGTCTCTGTGTCTCTGTGTCTCTGTGTCTCTGTGTCTCTGTGTCTCTGTGTCTCTGTGTCTCTCTGTGTCTCTGTGTCTCTGTGTCTCTGTGTCTCTGTGTCTCTGTGTCTCTGTGTCTCTGTGTCTCTGTGTCTCTGTGTCTCTGTGTCTCTGTGTCTCTGTGTCTCTGTGTCTCTGTGTCTCTGTGTCTCTGTGTCTCTGTGTCTCTGTGTCTCTGTGTCTCTGTGTCTCTGTGTCTCTGTGTCTCTGTGTCTCTGTGTCTCTGTGTCTCTGTGTCTCTGTGTCTCTGTGTCTCTGTGTCTCTGTGTCTCTGTGTCTCTGTGTCCGTGTCCGTGTCCGTGTATGTCCGTGTTTCTGTTTGTGTGTCTATGTGTGTTTGGCGTTTGTGTGCTTGTGGGTGTGTGTGTGTGTGTGTGTGTTTAAGGGCCCCTTGTTGGGGTTTGTTCAAAGAGAAGTTGAAACGGATAGCCGCATTAGTTGCGGTCCCCTACTTTGACACGTACCCAATCGTGAATGAAGACAGTTTATATATACATACATGTATTCATGAATGTATCGAATGTTTGTACTGTGGCGGGACAAAATCCTGCCCTACTTTGAAACCATGGTTGTGCTCGTTGGTAAGTACAAGGGAATCATCAGAAAACATGGTTTCTGAACGGTGGTGCGAAATGGATTTCACAACCATCCAACTATTACGCACCCTTTTACCAACTTACGTTGAAGTTCACATTTGCCCCTTTTCACAAGCGTCACGTCGCCTTTCGGACAGGAGGATTTCTGCGCTTCCAGGTTCATTTGGAGGACAACGATAACCCTGTTGTCGTTGTTGTTTTGTCAAGATCACCTCTTTCGTTGGGCAACGTTTTGATGTTAGAGGTTGACAATGAATATGTTCACTTGTTGGCATGTGTTCAGTGTTAGGGTTTATTTTGAAAAGTCAAGTATGTTTGCTACCATACCAAGAGTTGAAATATATGTCTCTCTTTCGGGGCACGTCCCCTTGGTTGAGAAGTGAACAGGTTTTCTTCAGGTTTTGAAATTTGGTGGTGTTGATCCTTCCGGGTCTGTCGATTTTCCTCGAACATACCTTTTGTGGCTGGTTGAAAGGGAAACCAACAGGCAACCACAGCCAACAGTCGTTGGGGGTCCGGTCCATACATATCATGACTTTTAGCCAATGTGGGTCTGTCTTTTTTGAGTTGGTACTTTTTGTGCTTTTCCTTTTTCTTTCTTTTTTTATTTGGACACCAAGAGCAAAGCACCGAAATCCATTTGGTGCCATACCCGCATGCAAAGATCACGCCCAGCGGACCTGAAAGGTGAGCTGGTAGCTCAAGAGGTGAGTCAGCTTTCCCGTCCAGCAATTGGTGCCCTTCTTAACCCCTTTTTTGGTTGGGATGGTTCCCTTTCTAAAATAGACTACAGAAAACAGGGTACCCTTATTCTATCCTTTCTACTGGAGGACCTAGAAATAAGCTCACATTCCCGGTTTCGAAACTTTCTTACTTTTTGGGCAGAGCACTTGTAAGGAGAGCCAAGACCCAGCAAGTCAGCAAGCTATGTCACTGACCCTCGCATGCTTGCCTGGTTGTAAATGAGGGTACTCGTTCGCAGGTCTCCATTTGGAAGCTTCCAGGGGTACACACTCAACTCCATGCATTTGTTGCAGCTCAACTCGTCCATGTTGTTTCCACAGCCCAGTTGCCAGTGGACTCCGCCCTTTTAAGTCGGATGCCGATGCTTTTGTTCGCATGGAAATCCACTGGGCATCGACAGCTGAGGACAGGTCTTTGTTCGCTCCGGTTGGCTATGCCTAGCCTCTTGGCACGGGCGTACTTCAGACTGGGGCCCGGCCTAAGAGATTTCAGCGTTCGGGGGGGGAGGGTTCCCTCTGCGTTCCAAGCTCTAAAAGGAAATGGGGGTGGGTTCATTCTGTGGATGGTTGCGAAATGCTCTACCTAGAGTCTCCATGACCCTTTCAAAATAGATCCATGACCCCATTATTTAGGGTAATGAAGGGGTCATGGAGACTCCAGGAAAAAGGAAATGCGGGGTGGGTTCATTCTGTGGATGGTTGCGAAATTCGTTCGAACCACGACATGAAACCAGCGTTGAAACCATTCTTTATTGATATTTACGTTGGGGAATCCTCAGAAACCAGGGTCTTTGAGGTGGTGCGAAATGGATTCTGCACCATCCACAGTAGTTCAGGGAAACTTCTTGGGGAGTGACCTTAAGAGTGCCCGGCCAAGAGTTTCTTGAGTTGATTCAAGGTGCATTCGGAGCAAAGGGATCGTTGGTTGGCTGGTTGGTTGGTTGGTCCAAAGAAGACCAAGTTTGGTTTGCCATAGCCTACCCAGAGGCTCCCGATTGATGTAGGGCCTTCAAACAACCAGGTTTTGAGACCCCGAACTTCCTCCGGGGTGTCTCATGGAGGGGCCGGGTCTTCCATTGAAAGCCCCAAAAGCCTCCGGGTATAGACTACAGACTGAGACATGTAGACAGGAGCTGACTCAGCTGCTTCAAGCTGTTCAGGTTTGCCTCTCGTTTGTTTCCGTAGCCTCTGCACATGTGTCTGTACTTTGGTGCATTTTGCCAAGGGATGTTAGGACTCAAAAACTGTTTGCCAACTAGTGGGGTTTCCGTATTAAACAACTAAAAGTTAAACTTTTAGCGGGGAGCAGAAAGCAACCGAGTGTACATGGCTTTGTCCAAACTTATAGGCTAGGATCAATGCGGCGAGACATGGTCAACTGACATCCCGCGGCAACAGGAAGCAAGAGTGAGTCATCATTGGCCGAATTTTGCAGAAACCCGGCCAGGGTGTAACTACCCCAAGCCATTTCTTTCAGCTTGGGCCTGTTGAAGCGACCAGTCTCTTTGTTTGGGGATCCAACGATGCAACATCAGCCGTGGCTTGCCATGTGTTTTCCTTGTTATTGGGACGTGGGTGCGAGACTGCTCGCCTCGCTTCTTTCGACTAAGGGTAACTTTTCCAGGGGTCTGAATCCATAGACTTCCAGTCTTAGACCGTCACACGCATGGGGGTTTTGGAATCAACCCCGGGCTTGCTTTTCTGGTGGCGTACGGCCTTTCGGGCGCCGCGCTTTTGGTGGAAAATGACCGTTGTTCATCTTGCCTTTCAACTGCACACCGGTTTTATTAAATGTTCCCCCTCTTTTTTCGTGTTTCCTTTTTTGTTGGGGGGATGTTCCCTTTTTTGCTGTTCATTGTTTGTTGGATGTTCCCTTTTTTTGGGCGTGTCCTTTTTTGTTGGGGGGGAAGCTCCCTTTTTTGCTGTTCCGTGTTTGTTGGATGTTCCCCTTTTCTTGCGTTTCCTTCTTTGTTGGGGGGATGTTCTCTTTTTTGCTGTTCCGTGTTTGTTGGATGTCCCCCCCCCCCCCATTTTTTTGGCGATTCCTTTTTTGTTCGGGGGGAAGTTCCCTCTTTTGTTGTTCTGTGTTTGTTGGATGTTCCTTTTTTTTTGGCGTTTCCTTCTTTTTTTGGGGATGTTCCCTTTTTTGCTGTTCATTGTTTGTTGGATGTTCCCTTTTTTTGGGCGTGTCCTTTTTTGTTGGGGGGGAAGCTCCCTTTTTTGCTGTTCCGTGTTTGTTGGATGTTCCCCTTTTCTTGCGTTTCCTTCTTTGTTGGGGGGATGTTCTCTTTTTTGCTGTTCCGTGTTTGTTGGATGTCCCCCCCCCCATTTTTTTGGCGATTCCTTTTTTGTTCGGGGGGAAGTTCCCTCTTTTGTTGTTCTGTGTTTGTTGGATGTTCCTTTTTTTTTGGCGTTTCCTTCTTTTTTTGGGGATGTTCCCTTTTTTGCTGTTCATTGTTTGTTGGATGTTCCCTTTTTTTGGGCGTGTCCTTTTTTGTTGGGGGGGAAGCTCCCTTTTTTGCTGTTCCGTGTTTGTTGGATGTTCCCCTTTTCTTGCGTTTCCTTCTTTGTTGGGGGGATGTTCTCTTTTTTGCTGTTCCGTGTTTGTTGGATGTCCCCCCCCCCCCATTTTTTTGGCGATTCCTTTTTTGTTCGGGGGGAAGTTCCCTCTTTTGTTGTTCTGTGTTTGTTGGATGTTCCTTTTTTTTGGCGTTTCCTTCTTTTTTTGGGGATGTTCCCTTTTTTGCTGTTCCGTTTCTCTCTTTTTTTAGGCTGTTCCCTTCTTCTTGCTATAAGTCCCTTTTTTCGGCTTCCCTTTTTACGGCCCTGTACGTCTTTCTTTTTCGGCTGCTCCCCCGTTGCACCGGCGTGTGGGGCGGGAGATCATGGACTTCGCGGACGGCGGGGACTTGTGCGCCGCGGTGAAGGACCGCGCCAAGAGCGGGCAGCCCTTCGAGGAGTCCGCGGTCTTGGAGTGCTTCTCCCAGGCGCCCAGTCGGGAGAGTCGGCGCTCGAGGGATATCGGTCGAGCCCAGGTGGGGGAGGCTGGGAGTCATGTCTTGGCCCCGGATGTTTTTCTTTTTTGACCCCTGGGACCAAAGTTTGGGTTTTTGGGGTTCCTCCAGCTTTTTTGGGTTTGGACCTACTGCTTCTCCCAGGCGCCCAGTCGGGAGAATCGGCAGGGGGTTCGGTCGAGCTCGACTTCTTATCCCCCAGTTGAGAAAAGCCCTGAGGTGGATTGATTGGGAAATGAGAGGGGGATGGGTGTGGTCATTTTTGTTGCAGGCTTCTCCCAGGCGAGTCATATCTTGCGTTTGGGTTTGGACTAGCAGCGGTTGTGGGTCAGGCTCTGGGAATCATATCTTGACCCCTGTGACCAAATCCAGCTTTTTCGGGCTGCTTCTCCCACACCAGGCTTCTCCCAGGCGCCGAGTGGCCCGCCGGTTGGGCTCGGGGGGATAGGCCTGGGCGATTAAAATGAGAAATGACAGGGGAAGCATGGTTGTTGTTGGGACACATTTTGCATCTTTGCTTATTGCGGTTTAGTGGGAAATCCCCACTGAACTGCTAAAATTTAAAATGTTGCTCCTCTTCCAACGTCAACCAAGGAAGGGGTGTGTCCATTTTTCTGTTACAGGCCTCCCAGGCTCTGAGTCGGGGGATCTCGGACGGCGGGGGTTAGATCTCGGTGGAGCCCAGCAGTTGGTGCCCGAGCTCTCACCGATTCTTTTTTGGTTGGGAGGGTTCTACTAAAATAGACGACAGCAAAACGTTGTTGCATTTTGCTTGGATGTTAGGACTTTAGCTTTTTGCCAACTCGCGGGTTTTCCATTAAACTACTAAAAGTTAAACTTTTAGCAGGGACCAAGAAAAAAATGGGTACCCTTATTCTAACCTCTCTACTGGAGGACCTAGGGGGGATAGCCCTGCGGGTTCAATTGACAAATGCAAGGGGGATGGGTGTGTCCATTTATTTGTTTACAGGCTTCTTCCAGGCGAGTCTCATCATGTTTGACGGACCCCCCCCCAAAAAAAAAGAAAAAGAAAGACGAACCATAAATTGGCAGGCTTCGCTGTGGTTTTCCTGTAACACCGCGAAAGCAAGGTAATTCCTCCAAACAAATAGACACACCCAGATCTTAGGACAAATTGCGATTGCTGGTACCCACGCACAAAGCCAGGGTTCCCAATCTGTCCCCTTCAAGGGCGTAAAGGCTCCAATTTGTGGTGAGTTTCATTTGGGGTGATGTTCAATGGGGAAATATAGGGTTCGAGGTGGGTAGCGTCTCCGTGAAAAGCCCAACGTCTGGAAATGAGTGGTTTTCAGTATTCCTGATTTGGCTGGCTCCCTATATTATGAAGCTAGGGTTAATGAAGCCGGGGTCAACAGTAGTGCTCATTTTGCTGGTTCGATAGGCAGGGAATGAGAAACGGAATGACCCCAAGAAAACCATCCATGCCCAATGCGTTTCCTTTATTCGGGAATCCTGTTCATTCCCAAAAGCCAGAATGGTCATTCCCTAAAGCCAGAATGGTCATTCCCTAAAGTCATGCTCTTTTGTTTAAAGCGGACCGGGACACCACAATGGTTTTTAAGGTTTGACCAAAATCCCTGTGTTTGTTTGTTGTCCTTTTCAACGCGGGGCTGATGAATATTCCTGGCCAAATCACCATGAGTAACATTTCACATTTAGTGGGAAACCCGGTCTTCTTGAGGTATCCTGTTTGATAAGTTAAGATTGACCGAAAGGAAGCCAACAGACAAACCACAATTTTGGGATCCCCCTATTTTGATTATCATCCAAAAAGCGTTAGCCTACTCTGCACAAGTTGGGATGGAAGCCCAGTTTGAATACAGGTTGACTTCGCTGTTGTTGGCAATGTGTTTAGCGTGTTGGGTTTTTGTTTGTTCAAAGTTTGTTTTGATCAAATTCAGTTAGGGGCTGGAAAAAGTATGGTTTTGGCTAAGATACCAAGGGTGGGGATTCCTTGGTGGCTCCGAGCCATCCCCTTAGCTTTTTAGCCTTTTAGCGTTTAGTGGGGGTTTCCGTGTAACCCACTCAAAGTTAGTCACTTTTAGCCCACTTGAGGGCAGCCACAGCCCAGCCGGGGCTTTCTTTGTCTACCGAAACGTGTCACAGGTGGCTGACGCCGTGCGCTACGTGCACGCACACAAGATGGTCCACCGAGCAGCTGGGATAGTCGGGAGGTGCGCTGAAAGTTAGGGCGTTGGGTGGGGGGACAAGGTCCAAACAAGTACCTTGAAGACCAAATAGTCCTTAAAAGTTGCAAAACGTCCAAACGGTCCTTAAAAATAAGGCCTATTTAGCTTTTAAGGACCATTTAGAGGTTTAAGGACTATTTGACTTTTAAGGCCTATTTGGATTTTATGTGTTTTTAGTGATTTTCTAGTGACAGCCTAAATCCTGTCTAAGCTCTAAATCCTACCTAGCCTATCAAACCAGCGCTGTCATGCACTCAAACCATAGCCCGGCGCAATTCAGCAAAAGCCGTGCTAAACGCACACATTTTTTCACCGACCACGCTTCTCAAGCTCATGCCTAACTACAATCAAATTCCTATAGAGCAGGTGCTCATGGCACGTCCTAGCCGACATCCTACGAAGCATGCGAAGATTGACCTTGACCCAGTCTTCGTCAATCCAGCAAGAGTCCCAGCCCAAGCTTCGCCTGGACGGACGTGTCTGCACATCCTCGATCAGATGAGTCAAGTAGTGAAACTTTGGCCGCACCTTGAAGTAGAGCTCGCGACGAACATTTGCTAGCTTAGCAAGCTTCATGTACGACGCCAGGAACGCACGGCCATACATCAAGGTCTGCTCCACCTCGGAATCAGAGAGGAAAAGGCCAGCCCGCATGACAGCTTCTTGAAGTTGATCTGCCAACCAGGCGCAAGCTGCAAGGCCTTCATATGGCTCTGGGGGCAGACGATCTGACAGCTCGCTGGCCACAAAGCGAATCATCACGCCAGTGTCTGCCGCGCTGGACTTGAACTCAGGGCAAGTGCCATCTTCCCAAGCGAGTCGGCTTTTGGATAGCCGCTTCAAGTGCATCTGCAGTCCGTGCTGGGCCTTGAAGTCATTCAGCCTGCGCTGCACTGCACTGAACCGCCGGGCCAAGTTGGGACCAGGCCAGAACTGCGACTTCAAGCAGATTTTCATCGCAGCACCTACAAGATCGCGAGCTACTCCTAAATGCCAGGTGTGCATCCAGTCGGTGCTGACCATGCGCAGACTGAAGCCATCCAGTAAGGAGAGGCACGGGCGCTCAGACCAGGGATCTGGCGCAGGCCGCGTGCGCCACGCAGCGGCCTCCGACAGGTCCGTGTACACCAAACTCGGGTCTTGACGGCCCATCGACGCCAGGCACCGGAAGCAAACCTGCCAAGGCTGACACATGCTGATATAACACTGAACAACAAAGCGCCGAGCGCGCCTCCTCACAGCCTGGGAACCGCGTGAGGTTCAGCGACTGCGCCAAGTACTTGAGGTCGCCCTTGCAGGCCACCACGTGGAAGGTCCAAACCTCAGACACGCCAGGATTGCAAATATATATATATATGGGCGGCATGTACGCAGTCAATCAGCTGAGCAGCTTCCCCGCAGACTTCGAGTCCTTTTGCCAGCCCGTCCAGGTCAGCCTGTACAGCCTGCAGCAAAGCTTGGAGCGTCTGGTTCACCTTCTCGTGGCTGCGGTACATGTTCACGGGGCAGGCGAACGCCAAGTTACGCGAGGCCTTCGAGTTGGTCCGCCATAGGCTGACATCGAGCATCCTGAGAAGCCAAATAGCAGACGAACGACACTCGAGCACTTTATCATGATGCACTAAGTGACCTTAATTAAGCGCAAGCCAGGGTGCCAGCTGAAGAGCATCCAGCTTTTGAAGTTGTGCGTGCCCTCGTCGCCCCAGAGGACTATAGGCACTGCGCGCGCCCACATATCGGGCTTGCTGCACAAGCTGTGGTCTGGGAAGTCGAGCAAGGTGCGTGCCCAGTACTCAGGAAGGGCTGCCGCATCTATGCTGGTCTGCAGCAGGCCCAGGCCAAGAAGCTCTGTCAACACAGCTGACGGCGCCAGGAACGGGAGGTGCCCAATCTGAAACTCATCCTGAGCGTCAACTATGGGAGCGTCCACATAGCTCAGCTTGACAGGCAAGCTCATGCCAGCCCGCATAACTTTGCGGTGAAATTCTCGTTCGCGAAGAGCACGAGTTGCGTGGCCAGAAAGCGTGGCCGAGGAGTACTCCTGACCTCAAGCAAAATCAAACACTGACCGACCTAGCTAGCCGACAGATAGCTATAGCGCCTCCTACACCTACACACCTACGCCTATCCTAAATATCGTGCTAGACTGGGCTGCCAGGTTGCCGAGCTCGCAAGCCAAGCTGATTGTGGCATCGCCAGCAGCAGTGGAAGTGGTCAGCCTGGCACAGAGCTAGCAGGCGGACGCAAAGCGCAGTCGATCAGGCCTTGTGTCCAGCTTCTGTTTGATCTGATCGAGCCTTCCAGAGCCGTAAGTACCTGCAGGATATCGAGGTCTGCACTGAGCGATATCGATGGAGCACGCACGCGCCCTCGCCGATCAGCGCTTGCAGTTGCGCAGCTCTTTTCACCCCTATAGCTAGCTCCTATGCACCGGCACTACAGCGTGACCACTATGATGCCCCGTATATAGAGCGTGATCCTGGCGCGCAAAACTGTAGAGCGCCAGCCTAGATCTATATACACCTAACCTACATAGCGGGGAAGCTGCAGCGCGCGCAGCAGACTGGCCCAAGAAGCTTTGACACGCTCAAACTGCATGCGTTCCTTTGTGTTTCTTGCACGGGCGGGCAAGCTGCATGAGCACGCTGACGAGTGAAACGCAGCTAGCGTCTCTTAAGCTCAGCCATGAGGCCCTTGGCCTTGCCCTTCACCAGCCGGAGGCTGTCAGCCTGCACCAGCAAGAACGCGCGCGCGCTCTTAGACTTATATAGAAGCGCTAGACGCTGCCAGGCCACAGCCGAGGCAATCTCTGCGCAGATCGGGTTGATCTGCTCGAACGTGTCCAGGCCACTCAGCCTGCATGCGTGCGCACTCAACACCTAAGAAAAAAAGAGTGAGATAATTGCCACACACACATAAAAGTACACACGCACTTGCAAGCAGGCAAGGGGCCGCTTCACCAGGTCCTTGAGGCTGGACTGGCTCGCCGTGAGCTGCTGGATGAGGTCCGCCGCGCCCTCCGACGGCATGTCCATGAGAATGCCGGCGACATCCTTCAGGTCCTTCTTGACCTCGGCACCTTAAAACAAAAACTAACTAGCTAGGCACCCTATTAGTTCCTACACGCCTATAGCTAGATAATGTTTGCTCCTACGCATATATAGCTAGCTAGCTATAGCCTACATGCCTAGCGCAGTCACGCGGCTGAACCTAGTGAGCTTCTCCTTCGGGGTCTTGAAGCTCAGCTCGCTTATGGGCCTCTTCTCAGCCTTGCCGCTCTGGCGGGACTTGGCGGCAGCCGACCTCGGGCCTGCAGCAGGTGCCCCAGCAGGCGCAGCGCCTCAAGCTATCTATAGGCTATATCACGCATATATGACACGTTATCATCCGTATGTGTCTAGAGACTGCGCAGGTCATCACCCTGTCATACACTCCCAGGGAAATCCCAGGCGCGCCTACAGCAGCCGCCAGCGCCTCGTTGTAGGCATCGTGGGCGCGCAAGACGTCGCCAGAGAGGCTAGCCTGCTGGCCAGTAGGCGTGGCGCGGATCTGGCAGGGCTCGTCCTCCGTGAGCATGGCGCCCACCGCAGCAGCGCTGGGCCGCATGTTGACCCGCACCTGCTGCTCGGTCCTGAGACATGTAAAGGCGCAGACGCGCCGCAGCTGCGCACTGCGTGCGCACTTCAGCCAAGGGACGCCGTGGCGGTGCAGTCGACCCCGTAGCGGGTCTCTTCGAGGACGCCGGGGGCGTCCTCATCCTCGATGCCGCCGCCGCGGGCTATGATCGAGTCTACCTTGCGCCTAAGCTACATGGGCATAGACCTACGGATATCCAGCCTACATCCTACAGCGGACTATAAAAGTGCAAAAGTGCAGGCGTGCTTCTGGCTGAAGTTCCAGGGCGGAGACTTCATGTCCTTGACCGGAACCAAAGAGTACGCTTTGGTCCCGGTCAAGGACGACGACTTCATGAGAGACATGGTGGCCTCCGCGGCTGACAGGTTCTCCCCCGAGGAAATCCAGGCCTGCAGCAGCTCCCGGCGGTCCTGCGCGCTGCCAGCTCACGCAATCTAGGTGTTGAGCTTTAGGCCTTCGCTCCGCCCTGTGCCAGCTGCTGGAGGTTCGGGTACGACGCCAGGGTGCCGTTCACGAAGAGGCGCATCTGCACAGGGTGCGAAAAAATCTCTCGTCAGCAAAAATGCTATAAGGCCACTAAGCAAGGCGCCAGCCGCGCGTGCTCTTTCTTGTGCGTCACAGTGGTGGGGGCTTGCGCTGCAAGCGAGGGCAGAGCCGGGGGCTCTGAGAGCTTGGGAGTTGGCGGGGCCGGCGGGTCAGCCTTTACAGGGGGCAGCGGCGAAGCAGGCGCAGGGTTCGCCCAGCCAGGCGTGGTCCCTTCCGGCTCTGCCTCCTGCTGGTCCGGCTGAGTCTCGGCCACTTCCTGCGCGTCGAGCTCGTCCTCTAACAGCTTGTCCAGGGCCAGCGTTTCCGCGTCTGAGAGCTCGGCCCCGTCTGTGAGGTCCACAGGGCCAGCAGGCGGCGCTGACGTATTGAAGGCTTCTGCCAACTTGCCTACTGCAGCAGCGCCCGCAGCAGCAGTCAGCACAGCAGGCGCTGCCTTCGGTGAGCTTGCGGAGGCAGCAGGAGCAGGTGCCTGAGTTGCAGGGACTGCTGGCTGACTGCCAGTAGCGGCAGGAGCAGTCTTCTCAGCTGCAGGGTCTGCAGCGCGACTGCCAGCCAGGCCCTGCAGCAAGGAGATGATGCCGTGAAGCTTGTCCACACCCACCTCCGACACGCTGGGCCCCAAGGTGAACCTGCATCGAAAAAAACAAAAAGGCACAAGTTGCGCAACTCCAAAATGCCAGCTGCTGGAGAGGAACTGGTCCAAGTTCTCCTGCGACTTTTTCCTCTGCAGACCCTGGCTGCCAGCAAGAGCTTGCAGCTGCTCCATGGCCATCTGCAAGGTTCCACAAGACCTGCAGTTTAGAAGCTCACCTACAGACGCGCCTACCTAGTCCTATATAGACCTACGCCTAACTCAGACAAGCATCGACAAGCTGAGCTGGGACTCGAGCTCCTGGTGGTCAAGCTCCGGCTGCGAGTCAGGCAGCATCTTGACGTCTGCGCCTGCAGGCTGCTGGCACACCAGCTGTGTGTCATCAGCCTGGAAAACCGGGACTGCAGGTGGCTTGGACTTCTTTGGCTTGCCGCCAGCAGCAGCCTTGGTAGCTGGCTCTTTGCGCTTGGGCGGGCGGCTTTGGCCTGCAGGGGCCGGGGGCTCAGCAGGCGCAGCATCTGCAGCCTTCTTGGCTGCAGCCGGCTTAGGCTTGGCCTTGGGGGCGCCGGAGCGCTGAGTCGAGTTCGCTGCTTTAGCTGGCTGGGCCTCAGCACCGTCGCCAACGATGCTGGCCGCCAGCTCCAGAACAGCCTCCGCGTCGTCCCTGCTGAGGTTCTCCTCCTGCATCAGCGCCAGGATGTCCTCCTCGTGGCCATCCGACGCGGCTTTAGCAGGGCAAGCTCGCTTGGGCGCCATGGCTTCTATATAGCTGAGCCTAGCTAGCCTAACCTACCGTGTGCTAAGAGACACTACCAGCCAAAACCTACGAAAACCAAAGACTTCTGCATGCCAGACCATGGAAAATCAATTTCCCGGATTTCCCGTTTTTTAGGGCTCATTTACACGTTTTTAAGGCTCATTTACACGCAATTTCCCGGAATTTCCCGTCCAACTTTGGCAGACATTGCCAGAAGCGCTCTTTTGGACACGCGCAAGCTAGCCTATCTAGATCCTATAGCCTACCCCGTAGCCTAGGATCAGGCAGCTCGAAGGCCCAAGTGCCTCAGAGCTATCGGAAACTTCACGCCTCACAGATAACGCTGCAAGTAGGCGCAGGCCAAGTGGCAGGCGAAGGCTCTCCACAAAGTCTTCCTGAGCAGGGTCGTGTGCAGGGAGCGGCTCGGCACTCAAAACACATGTGGCTCAAGCAACTTGCCTCAAGTGTCAATCTTCACAGCCGGGCGTGCGACTGTTTTCACGGCACAGTCACGCCAGTCGATCCAGCCACAGCTGTACAGCGGCTCGCCCCGTAGCTACCCTACCTACCACGCGCGCCTAGCTAGCCCCTACCTAGCCAACCTAGCCTAGCAGCAGCCTACCCGACGGGTGCTTCACTCGAGGTGAGGGCCGGCCCCGGGCAGCCCGTGCCTTGCTGCCCGGTTGAGCCCCGTGAAGTACCCGTCCCACCACGCCTCCGCCAGCTGCCACGTCCGCTGCTCAGCCGTGCCAGGTGTCTGGGCCGCGCGCGAAGTCCAGTCGCAGGGCTTGCCCCCTTTAGGGCCGCCGGGGCGCGGCTGCGGCCCAGTGCGCTGCAGCGCAGCCTGGCCCTCAGAGCTTGCAGCCCAGCGCCGCCACGCCTCCTCCACCTCCTCTGGCGGCAGCGGCTGTCCGCCACCGTAGCCGCCTGCACGCTGCCAGCTAGCGCTGCGTGGCGTGTGCACCTCTGCCTGGTGGCGTGCAGCTTCGCGAGCTTCAGCTGCTTCAGCGGCCCTGCGGGCTTCGGCAGCCTCAGTGGCCATGCGGGCCTCGGCAGCTTCAGCGGCCTTGCGCGCCTCTGCAGCTGCAGCGGCCATCTTGGCCTCGGCAGCTTCTGCAGACCGGCGGGCCTCCACGGCTTCCTGCAGGGCGCGAGCTTCGTCAGGGGAGACACCTCGTGGCTCTGCAGGTCGGCGCGTGTCCTCGGCTAAGGCCTCGACTTCCGACTCCCACTCGGCGAGCGCCTCAGGGTCGACTTGGTCCTTCGCCACGGCCAGCCAGGCAGCTGCTGGGGCATCCTTGCCCTTGCCCAAGCCAGGAGGGGTCTCTGCAGCTCCTTTAGGCTTGCCGCCTGCCGGCATAGCCTTGCCCTCGAGCGGGCCTTTCCCTTTGAGCTGCTTCCCAGTCTTTGGCTTTGCCATCTGGCTTGCCGCCATCTGGCTTGCCGCCGCCTGGCTTGCCGCCGCCTGGCTTGCCGCCGTCTGGCTTGCCGCCGTCAGGCTTGCCGCCGTCAGGCTTGCCGCCGTCAGGCTTGCCGCCGTCAGGCTTGCCGCCGTCTGGCTTGCCACCATCTGGCTTGCCATCAGGCTTGCCGCCGGCAGGCTTGCCCGCCCCAGACTTGCCCTGCCCTTTGGCGGAAGCTTTCGGCGCCAGGCCGCGGTCTCGCTCAGCAGCTGCAGGCGGCTCATCCGTGCGAGGCTTCTTGTTCGAGTCCATGCCGCCCTCGATGACGCCCATATGGCGCCACGTGTGACCTACTGGCGCGACCTAAACCTACCGTAGCTAGATAGATATGAGCCAGGCAGCAAGTAACGCTCACAAAAGCACGCGCAAATCTGCATGCAGTGAACATGTGCTATCGCAACTGCCTCGATTATAAATTGCTGACGAGTTTCCCAGTGCCCAGGGGGCGGCCTCAAGTGCTTGCAGCCCAAGACGTAGCGCAGCGGCTGCAAGAGCTCTGCCTCACCAAGGGCCCGCGCTGGAGCACGCAGTTGGGTAGCAAAAGCTTCCTACCTAAAAAATCCTACTTCCTACTACCTACTTCCTATACCTAAAACTCCCTAGTAGCTAGTAGCTATATATAGCATGCCGAGGCTCGTCCTCCAGGTCGTGCCGGAGCAGCTCAGGCTGGACCCAGTCAAGGCCTGCTGGCAAGTCCTGCCTTACCTATAGACACGAAGCTGTAGCCTGCGTTGCCTTTTGGCGCTGAAGGGCACCGGCCAGAAGTGGCTCTGCTCCTACAGCTGGGACATGCAGTCTCAAAGTCCAAAGCTGCATTAAGGCAAACGCATTATGGAAAAGCTGGCGCAGCAGAGCGCAATCACCGCGCAGGATCCAGGCTTTAGGCAGCGCACCGCGTTGAGCGCCAGCCTGCTCAAAACTCAAAAACGGAAAAATGTGGCAAGTGTAAGGGCCAGACAGGAAGCCAGAGTTCCCGGTCAGATCCATGCACATCGGATTTTTGAGGATGTCGTGGCTTTGTCCTTGAAGGCCATCCTCGCATGCGAGCAGAAAAAAAAGGCTGCAAGCTTGCCTGCTGGAGGTGCCTGGACACTTCTCCGTGGCCTGCGAAAAGCTCAAGAAAGTCTAGCTCCTGCGCAGTCACAATTATGCGCAGTCAGCAATGCAGCCTACCGCAGTCCTGCTGGCCAGCTGGAAACTGCAGAAAGCCCACCAGCACATACAGCAAGATGAGAGACTTCGGGGCTCTCCAAACCATGAGTTCGCGAACCACCATGCTGGAGCTAAAGCAGCCTACCTATAGTCCGAGCCTAATTAGCTATAGCGCGCACGTGTGAAAAAAGCTAGCACGAACACACATCAACTGCAACAACTGGCTTTTTCCCCCTACATGAACCTACGTCGCTTCAGCTCCCCTACCGTTAAACCGGCCAGCAGCTGAGTCCTGTCAGGCGACAGGCTCCAAGCCGCGCAGCCTTCCCGGTACGACTTCCCCAGCGCCTTTTGCGCGGCTATGTACTCTTTGCGCTTGCTGGCGAACAGGCCCGGAGAGTAGGCAGCGCTACTGTCTGCAGCTGGAGATGGCGCAGGCGGCGCAGCAGCTTGCGTAGCCTTTTTTTTCGGCTGCACCTTCTTTTTGGTCGCCGCCTTGTTCTTTGACTTCTTTTTTTTGGAAGCTGCAGGCTCCTGGCTGTCCTCAGCCTCGCTCTGGTAGTCCCCATTTTTCCACCTGGATTTGCAGCAGTTATTTTGGAAAAAAAGAGGTGCAGGCGAGGCGCTGTGAGGCCGGGAAGAGGGGCTGACCGGCTGGAAGTTCTTGCAACTTCTCGAGGGCAGCCCGCACCACGTCCGTAAGCTGAGGCACAGCCGACCTGCGCTCGAGCCTGCTCTTGGCGACCTTCTCTGCCAGCGCCTTGCGGGCTGTGTCTGGCAACGCTGTCTCGGAGTTGGCGGGCTTCGCCGTGGAAGAAGCCGCCAGCTTGCCTCTAGCAACTTGTTCAGCTATAGCCCTGGCGTCAGGGCGCGCCCCCACCAGAAAAAAAAAGGTGCAGCAAGGCCTCAGTCTTGCAGTTGGCTCTGCTGGGCTTGCAGGGGCCTCTGAAAGCCAAATTCTAGAGAAAAAAGAACAATGCGAAGCATGCAGGTGAGGTGCAGCTGGGCTGAGGCTTTCCAGATCGCTGCCATCAGCTTCAGACTGCGAGTCCTCGCCGGCCTGGCAAAGAATAGTTGCCGCGACTGGCAAAGAAAGCTGGCTAGCCTTAAGGCTCATGACTTCCCTCAGCTCGTCCTTGAGCTCCTGGAGCGCTTTGTTCCTGGAACCTGCTGCAGTGCGGACAAGCTTCTTGAAGCGGGAGACCTAGGCGCTGGATTGCCTACGCCTATCTTCAATCTAGATCCGTCCTAAAGCTAGCAGTACTATAGATGCCTATATTAGACCTAAACAAGCAAAGGCCCCCGCAAGCTTGCGAAGGGCTGTTCCTGTCTTAAGCGACCACCGCAGGATCGCTTCGGCGTGCAGGCTCACGCCCCGCGGCAGCTGCCCAGTGTCTTGCACGAAAAGCCGGACTGCTGCAGCAAGGACATGGCTGCTAGCTCGGCGGCGGCCAGGCTTGGTCCCCCGGATCGCTGCAGCGATGGCCTTGGCTATCCGCAAGCATTCCTGCAGAAGGAACTATAAGGGCAGCGCGCAGACATTAAGCTCTGCCACGCGAGGGTTGGCCACCACGTCCGAGCGGGAGGCTTCCCCACTCTTGAGCAGCTTGCCGGAGGCATCGTCTAGCAGCCGAAGGCCAACCTAAACGACAAAGCTGTCAAAGTCGGATCCTGCAGCTGATCGGGATGCAGCAAAGCAGCTCCTTTCAGGGCAGGCTCTCGCTTGAACTCCTCTGCGATGCTGATGCTTTCCTTGGGGAACTTCGCCAAGTCAGCAGCAGCGACGCTGGAGCCAGGCATTGGCGCCGCTTTAGAGGCTACAGGGATAGCGCTACACCAGCCCTAACCTATAGCCTACACCTAGATAGCCCCTAAGTGCTCCTAAAGCGCCTGTGAGCCACATGCAAGGGCAAAATTCGCGACATGACTCACACGCACACGCAAGCAACGCGGAGGGCACTGGACTTTGAGGCTGGCTTCATGACCTGCTTGATCTTCGGCATCTTGCGGGCAGGCACCTGCGGCTGATCAAGGCACTCGTGCCGGCCAGCTACGTGACTTGAAAGCTGCGCCTGGGCGCGCTTCTCGGCGCAGCGCTTGCGGAATCCCATGGCGCCATCCTACACCTATATCTCCTATTCTCCTAAATTTCTAGCTAGACCATATTCGAACACTTGCCACTTGACACCTTAAGCCTAAAATCTTCGATGCCATGAAATTGCCGTGCCTGAGCCTCAATGCTCACCAAATGCAAAAACTCCGCAAGCGCCGGAGGCGCTAGCTAGCTAGCCTAAGCCTAAAAAACCTGCCGCACTGCCCTAGCTAGCACCCTACAACTTGCTAATTTCCAAACGGTCGTTTATTTAAGGCCTATTTGAAACGGTCCTTAAAATAGAGCCTATTTGATTTTTTAAGGACGATACTTTTAGAGACCATTTGGTCTTCAAGGTATGTCTTCGAGTGGTTGGTTGGTTGGTTTGTTGGTTGGTTGGTTGGGGGGGGGGGGGGCAAAAATGAGGTGTAAGACGAGCTCACCTAGTTATTCTTGTTGAAGGCCCCTTGAAGATTCGTAATTGTTCCTTCGGACATTACCATACCCCTGACCCTCGCTTTCCTCCCTCCCCTTTTTGCCATCGAAGGCAAGGTTGCTGGCGTTGTTCGGTCCGGACAAAAATCCACTCCCCGCTTTCCCTCCCCGCCCGCCCCCCACGTCGAGCGCTCGCGTAAGCCTTGCTCCGAGGACATCAAGTCCCGGAACGTCTTCCTGTGCCGTACGGGGCAAGCGCTGCTCGGGGACTTCGGCCTGGTGCGATTGCTCGAGTCCACCCTCGCGACTCGACTCCGGAACATTCTGGGCAGGTGGATAGATGGTTACCCGAAATCATACGAAATGCCTTCGCGAACGACCGCACGATCATCAATTTTCTGCAATGAATGTGTATTACTTTCCCTGTTGGCGTTTGAAGGGAATCTAGCATGATTGGACATGTTTTGTTTTCCAGGGTGCTTAAGCAAATGGAGGACGAAGTGAAACCATGGGAATGAAGCCATAACCTTTGGTAAATTGACCGAGGGTCAACTCATTCCAGTGTTTCAAGATTCCGAACGGTGGTGCGAAATGGATTTCGCAACCATCCACCGCACAGATATTCATAGTTCCTTATACTGTTAGTTGAGAACTAAGAATTTGCGTCATATGATTCATTGAGTCGTCTTTGGAGTAGAGGATTTCTGCTCTTGTGGTTTACTCTCATAGCAGTGTATTAAGAAGGGGGTGCTCTCCTTCAACAGGGATGATTCCCCACTAAACCCAGGGACACCCCGTCTATTGATAAACTGGGGTTGATTAATATGGGGTCAACATCATAAATTAGACTATATTCAGTGGTATGTTCAATTGTGTTTCTCATTGTTTCCTTAGGTAGATGAACAAGTTCTCTAGCTCTCCTGGGTCTTGTTCGGACCTCAATATTCTTCTGCATATTGGTTTTATTTTAACCAAAGTAGGGCATTCTTCATATTATGATTTCCATTTGCTGAGTATATAATAGTATTGCTGTTTTCCCCTTGTTGGTTTTTAAGGGAATCTATCACTACTGCACATGCTATTTTTCAGGGGACCAGAGGCTGATGCTTTAGCTTCGCTTAGGATGACCACATATTGCTTCTGTAAGCCACATCAACATCTCCGGCCTTTCATGGTAAATTACGGTCAATGTGGGGGATTCTATCGTGTTGCGAACTGTGGATGGACGAAATCCTGCACCAATTTGAAACGAGGGGAAGGCACAGTTTGTTGGGAATCGATTATAGACCAGAGTTTCTCAGGTGGCTCGAAATGGATTTCGTCCATCCACCCTTTAGGGCCCCAAGCTGAGTTTCCAACTCGGGGTGATGTAAGGAGAGGACAATTACGGGAAGCTGGTAGATCACATTGTTGGACTGCCAGGGTCAAGAAGGGTGGTTTGGAGCCGAATCGCTGCTTTGGTGGTGTTCCAATTGGCGGTTTCCCATTTACCCTCCACAAGAACCTGATGTTCAAATCCCCAAACCACGAATCCAAATCACAAACTACTTAAAGGGCATGGTACTTAGTTTGCGTTACAACCCACTTCCCATGGTTATAAGTCGCCTAAGTGGGTTATAACTATGGTTACTGCCCACTTACTGAGTACCATGCCCCTTTAAGTAGGGTCACCTGACCTATTAAACTATCAAGGAGGCCCTACTTAGGGCTTATTCTTGCCCCTCCCGCTAGCCATGTTCAACATCCTGGCCAAGGTTATCCCCCACCGGGATTGATTAGGATTTTTGCGTTATTTTTGTGTTTGCGTTATGTTGGTGTTCGCGCTGCTCATGCACTATTTGGTCGCTTCAACCATCCCCGTTCCAATTTGCTGTTGGAACACCCGCACAAATTGGGGGCGGGGTGGGGGGGTTCCCGCAAAGAGCTGGACCCGCTTTTGGACGGAAAGCGGAAGAAAGGCAACCACCCCAAAATCTCAACCTCCTTTTGAGTAGTTCAACGGGGAGCCCAAAGAAGACCGACCAACCCAAAGGGTGACCGGAAAACCGAAAATCCCCACCCCACCTCCAGCCCCCCACCTCAAGCCCCCCACCTCCAACCCCCACCGACTCATCCCCCCCACCCCCCCCAGGCCCACCCCACCCCACCCCACCCCCACCAACTCCCGCCCCCCAACCCCCCCCCACCCCACCCCACTCCACCCCACCTAGTGGTCCGCAAGGAGCTGGCCCACACCCGGGTGGGCACTCCCTACTATCTCAGCCCAGAGTCTTGGCCAAAAGGTTTTGCCGCTGTGACCAGCTGGAGAAACACACACCCCTCCTTGGTGTTTTGTACCTTTTTTTTGGTGTGTTTGTCTTTTGTGGGACTTGTTTTTTTTTTTGGTGTGTGTGTGTGTGTTTTTGGGGGATCTGAAGGTGGAAAAAAAACAAAAGACTTCACCCCCTTGTTTCTTGCCGCTTGCGCCAAAGTTTTGGCGTGGTTGGATGAAGTCCTTTTAGGTTTGGGACAAGCAGAACTTGCGCTGTCTCGTCCTTCCCTTTTTTTTTGTCCGGTTCCCAGCGAAGGTTCGGAGTCCCAAGACTTCGGCCCATGATCCTGAACCTTTTTGGTTGCGCCTTTGGTTCAGGGTACGTTTTTCGGGTGGTTTTCCAAGGAAAAGGCAAAGTTCAAAGCACCATTCTTTGTTCGGGCCCCGCAGGTTTTAAGACCTGACGTTCAGCTGGCCTGTGTTTTCAAGCTCCCAAGTTGCCGCCTTTGGCAAAGAAGCTATAGGTCTTTTGATTACTTGGCCGAGCGACATCTTCTCCGAAGACTCTCCTTCCGGTCGCCTATTGGGCCAACTGGATTTTGTTTTGTTGGGGCTCTCTAAAATGCTTGTGGGGGCGGGGGGTGTTTGCTGTGCTTTTTGCCACCATTTCATTTCAAGTTGATTGTTGAGGGTGTCACTTTATTGCTCAGAGTGAGCCAAACATATGAATGGCCAGATGGTTTCTCTACACGCTGTCCTGACGCCCATGTTACTTTGTGTTTATGTTCCACAGGGTCTGAAATTTGTGACAAAATGATCTTCCAGGTGTTGGAAGGGACGGCCAGTGCTCTTTATTTCCCTTGCGTTCCTGTCAAGCCCGAAAAGAGCAATGGGAGTCCACTCTGTCGAGTGGGTTCCACGTCCAAATCATGTGTGTGCGTGCGTGCGCGATCTCGAGCTTTTGCTACAGATGACAGGCATTGTGGGTTTCAAAATAGGGTGACCCCAAACATGGATGGTTTCCTCTTGGTGTCCCTTGCCACAGTTCCCAAACGGATACCCTCCAAAACGACGTGTGGCGAAGTTGTCCTTTTGGTTGTCCGCAAAACCGAGGTGAAAAGGGTACCCTCAACACCAGCAACACACACACACACTTGACTAAGGAGATCATTAGGAAGCAGCCCTACAACTACAAAACCGATGTCTGGAGTTTGGGGGTCCTCCTCTACGAGATGGCAGCTTTAAAGCGGCCCTTCATGGGCACGCTGGAAGCTCTGGCAAAACATGGGCAGCGTTTTTGGGGTTGGATCTTGAGCTGGGGGATATGAGTGGTTTTCGCACCTTCCATTTGCTTAAGCCCCCAAGGAATCGTAAAAAATGTGTCCAAGAGTGATAGATGTCCTTTGAAAACACAGCGGGAAGATAGAACATATTCTTCAGCGAACGTGTTTTAGCCTTTAACTTTCTGGATTCGCACAGAGTTCCGCGGCCTCGAAATCCCTTTTGCTTTGGGTTCTCCATTAGAAATCCTTCTCGACCCCCAAAAAGGGTTTTGTTCTACCTAGAGTGTCCATCACAATTGAAAAATCGGTCATTACCCTAAATAATGGGGTCATGGACCTATTTTTAAAGGGTCATGGAAACTCTAGGTACCGAGGTCACTGGACAACTGAGATCTTGGTTCCGTTTAAAGCCAACCTAATTTGGGCTCCGCCCCAAGAAAATACACCACACGCCTGTTTTACCAAGAACTCTGCCCCTTGTTCGGTTTCATCATGTTCGAGCGGAATGACAAACCGAGCAGAAGTGATCTAGCCCGAAGTTTCTGGTGTTGCTGTTGGCATTTTTTCAGGTTTCGCCTGGGTTTAGTTGTTTGACCACAAGGTCAATATGTTATGTTCAGGTCCTTTCAGCCACTGAGAGACTGTTGGGGCTGGAAGCTGAACCCCATCAATATGACGTGTGTACTGCGGAGGTGCTGGACAGTGCTCGCCAGACAAAATTGTTCTAAATGCCGTCAAAATGGGTGGTTGCCTCTTGGGCTCCTGCAAAAAACATGGCCAAAAGGCTACCGAGAGACGCTGACAAATCGAATTGTTTTCTCCGCAACCCGGAGGCATGTGCGGCCGGGGGCCTTGAGCGATAGAACCCCTGCCTGTAAGCGGAAAATCAGTTGGTCAACAAGACGCCCATACTGTGGATGGGCGAAATCCATGCAACGCACCACTTGTGACGCCATGGTAAACCATTGTTTGTCGGTATTTACATGGGAATCATGCATCATTCTAGGGTTTCTGAGCGCTGCGAGACGCATGGATTTCGATTTCAACCATCCACAGTCTTCCCCCTTTTTCTCGCCAACTGGGCCTGGGGTGGGACGAGTCAGGATGGGCTTTTTCACGCTTTGGATCCAAGCCCCTAGCGCTCCCAATTCGGACGGTGCGGAGGGTCGGGGGATTCCCCGAAGGATCTTCTTTCTTTTGGCGAGGTTACTCCATCTCCTTCCGCTTGGTTGCTTATGTTTTTATTGTCCCTTTGTGGTCTTTTCTGGTAATCCATCACTCTTGGACATATTTTAGTTGTTCTTTTTTGGGGGAGCTTCAGCAAATGGAAGTTTCTGGAAGGATCACTCACTTGCTTCAGACCTGGCGGTCCGCGAGGTTTCGAGGCAAACACCAAGAAATCGCTTTGTAGACCTGTCTCCTTCTGACCCGAAATAAAACAAATGGGTCCATGCCCATAGGTGTCCTTTTTGGTTGGTTTGCAAAAACATAGAGGGCGATTCCTGGTTTAGATGGGATTTATTCCATTTACCAGGGAAACCCATCTATTTCCCCTAAAAGGACACCTATGTCCATGACCCCAATATTTAAGGTAACGACCCTATTATTAAAGGGTCATGGAGACTCTAGGTACCTCCTTTTTTGCATTCCACAACTGTTTTCTCAGCTTCCCCCGAATTGGTGCTTTGGATTGGCTTGGGCTTTGAACCCCTGTTCCCTTTGGGGTAGGTAGCCCCCAACGTCCAAACCTCCAAACCAAACCACCAATTAGGGGGAAGCTTATTCTCTGTCAGTTGGTCACGGTCACACAGCTATCCCAGGAGACTCTGCCAAAGATCATCCTGAAAGGCTGGCGGGACCAATGGCAATGGCACTGGTAACTCAAACTAAGCTGAATCCAGTGAACACATAAACCAAACTTGCGGCCGGCCCCTTCTCCCCTCATGTCTCGTATCGGTCTGCTAGAGCCTTCCCGCACAAGATTCGGCATTAGACGATATCAACGTAAAGCTTTTTAGAGAACCACAGCACGTCACAGGCCGGGGGCACCGTCATCTTCTCAGATCGCTATTCGCATGATGCGGGGTGGTTCCGCTTGTTCCGCTTGCTTCGGGCAATTACAGAGGTAGAGTTTCACAGAGGTCCTCCAGAAGGAGGAGCAATTGAAAAGAACCTGACACGTCCAATTCTCCCCGCAGCTAGGTGCCGTTTCTCACCCTTTTTTGGTTGGGAGGGTTCCCCTGCTACAATAGACTACAGACAAAAAGTTGGTACCCTTATTCTAACCTCTCTACCGGAGGACGTAGCGTCCAACTGTGAGTCAGGAAGTGAACTCCGCCGAAAAAAAGCGGCGCTAGGACTGCTGTGTCCTTGCCGCATTGGAAGTTGAAGGTCTTGTGGGTTTTCTACTTGGGAGGTGTAATTCAAGGATTCCTTTCAAGAAGTAGTTGCAAAATGTGAGTTTGAGTTTTCCTTGCATGCATGTTCCCACCAAGACTATTTTTTCCTGGAGAAACAAATGAAGCACTCTTCAGTTGTCCGAGAAATGTTCACCCCTGATTAATGAACCCAGTTTATCAATAGAGGGGTGGAGACACCTGAAAAAGTGGCCTGATTCCAACCACTAAACCCAGGGACAACCCCCCTATTCATAAACTGGGGGTGGTCTGGGGTCGACATTCGCAAGCCAGCCAAATCAATGCCGAAAACCGCTCATTTCCAGATGTTTCGCTTTCCATGGAGAGGCTACTCGCCTCTGCAGTCCCAACCACCCTTTCTGGGGACATATCGGGAACCCTGGTTTTGAGTTTGTGTGTGTGTGTGGGTATTTGTACTCGCAGTTTGTTCAAACAAGATGTGGGTGTGTCTTTTGTTTGAGGTACCCTTTTTTGGGGGGGTTGAAAGAACAAACACAGGGACACCTACCATGCTGTTGTTGTTGTTTTTGGGGGGGCGTGTAGGGACGAAGGAAGGGGAAGGAAGGAATCAATAAAGCTCGAAGGCTCCCGCAAAAAACAGGGATACCCCCCAAACAAAGGCCCCAAATAGCAGCGCTTGCACACCAGCACCTCCAAGCACCCCCCCCGAACAACGCCCAAAGGAGATGAGTGTCTCCCTTTTTTGTTGGACCGTAAAAAACAAAAAAAACAGCCCTAGGAAAAACACCGGATCCGAGATTCTAACGGTTGATTCCCCCCTTTAGTAATCAGCCAAGGGGACACCCCCCAAACCAAAATCAAGAAATTTATGAATCCTAATGTTCTAGGGGTTGATTCCCTGTCCATTTCAACCATCCTTCTTTTCAAAAACCGGATCCGTTTCCGTGGGTGTCCGGATGGTGTCTAGAAAGATTCGGATCCCTGGAAAGAATGGGGAAGGTAGCACTAGAGAGGTGAGTGTCTCCCTTTTTACTGGACCAATCAACCAACCAGGGGACCAGCCCTAAAAACAAAAACAAACGCCCCAGGGACAAAACAACAACAAAAAACACCGGATCCGCGCCCGAGACGCCCGAGATGGCGTCTAGGAGGGGTCGAGTGGGGGGGGGGGGGGAGGCGGCGTCTAGTGGGCTGCCTTTGGAGGGGGAAGACTTCACCCAAAACGGGCTGGCGTCGGGGAGGGGGGCCCGGGGGTGGTCGAGTATGGGGGCCCCGGGTGGGTTCCCTAAGCCGTGCGAGACGCGGAGACGCGGAGCCCTGAGGAATTTGGGGGAAGTGGTAAAAGGTCCAGTAAATAACTTCCATTTTGTTTATTTTTTCCCCTGTTGGTTTTATAAGGAATCGATCACTACTGGACATATGTTGCTTTTTTCTCCCAGGGGGCTTAAGCAAATGGAAGTTAGGCTTGTGGTTTTTAGTTGGTTTAGTGCCCAGATCCAACAATGTAACAACCTCATCATTCGCGGATTTGAGGAATCTGTAAGTGACGAATCCCCTTGAACCACACCCAAAGCCGTAAATATAAGGTACTTAGGACCCTTTGGGTTTAGTGGTTGGATTTCCGTATTTGACCCACAGGCCCACAGGTGAAACACTTTGAGCAGGGGATCAGAAAGACGAATCCCCTTGAAAATGGAGGATAAGGGAGACCCTCATTTTGCTGAAAAAATCCCCGGGAGGCGACTACGAGCCGCTGGGGGGCCACTTCTCCCCGGCGCTGCATGGCCTCGTGGCGCGGTTGCTGGCGCTGGATCCCAACCAGCGCCCGCCCCTCGCGGAACTGCTCCAGGAGGAGGCGAATGGATCGCCGGGTTTTCCAGTGCTTCACGCTTGAGCTTGCAAGGGACACCACAGACAATCCACGTGTTTTTCTTTGTTTTTCTTATTTTGGAGAGGGCTGGTGGGTTGCTTTCTTCCCCCAGCCCCTTTTTTGGTTGGAAGTTGTTGTTTTTTTTACTAAAATAGACCACTGAAAGATGTAGTACCCTTATTCTAACCTCTCTACTGGAGGACCTCCGGGAGGGATCGCTACATGGCGATTTGTTTTGTCTGGTTGTAACCCGCCAAAGCAATGGTTGTAAGTCCTCTGTAATCAGGGTTACTAGCCATTGAGCGATTCGTCCCAGCCCATCTAAGTACTTCACGGTTGAACTTGAAAAGGACACCACACAAAACCAGCAGGTTGTGATGGGTATTTCATTGTGAGACAAGCCCGCAAACTCCAAGAACGAGATTCCCAAACAGAGTTCTTCACTGCTGTTGGCATGCGTTTAGTTGTTTTTTTAGGCCGCTTGGGGGGTTCTGGCATCTTTTTTGGCACCAAGCACCCATAGAAAAGGCGGTAGGTTACCATTTCTATTAGGTGTTTGTTTCCCGTGGTGGCCGGAAAGTTTCTTGAAGCCCCGCTCTGGACGCCCTGAAGCCGAAGGCCATCCGGTTGCCGTTTGGCCGTTGAGGCTTTTGGTGAGTGGCAGTTTGCGAAGTTGACCCACGAAAAGTTCTTCACTTTTAGCGGGGGATCTGAGGGTTGAATCAGGTTTCTGCCAATGGTTGGGTCGTGCCAAGCCCGGGAGCAGCTCCCCACACCCGTGTTTTTTTTTGTGTGTGTGTGTGGTTTTTGTTTGCGGGGAAAGGGAGGGAGAACCAACCCCTTGATGCTGCGGAGGGTTGCGAAATCCATGCAACGCACCACCGTTCAGAAACCCAGGTTTATGAATCCATACCCCTGTAAATACCAACGAAACATGGCGTCCCGTGGTTTCAAAGTAGTGCGAAATGGATGTTGTCCATCCACAGTATGAAACTTGTGGCACTGGAGGTCCGCTGGAAACCCTGGCGGTCCGAGGGAATCCGAAATCCAATCAGCCCCGGTGTTTGGTCATTGGATCTTCGCTTCAAGTTGGCAAGCTGGCAGTAACCTGGATTCTAACCCACTTCCTGCCTCAAGAGGGGTTAACCAAGTCACACGTGGGGTAGACCCCAGGTGGCGTTGGCCACTTACTAACTTGGCGAATCGAACAGTGCTAGTATATCCCTGGAACCCCCTTTTGTGTGGTTGAGGGTCGTGGAAATCATCGAGGAGATGTGCGGTTTGGGGGGAGTGGGCGGACGTTGGATTGACTGGGAAGCCCACTTGATGGACTTGTTTTTGTTTTGTTTCCTTGGAGGTTAGGTTTGGTGGTAAGACTGAATTTCTGCGTTCCGGAACTAGCAACTGGCTCACGAAGTGAAGGAGAAAACTTGGGCAGAGAGTCGCTTGCAAACTCTCAGTTCCAACTTTCGGAGTGGATGTTCATGTGGCTCTCCGTTAAGGCGGCCGGAAACCTCAGCAAATGAGGAAACGACCCCCTGGATTCCAGGTACCAGTATATACTCAGTTGTTCAGTGGCTCCCTTTTTCCTTTTTTTTGGTGGCTGCCCCACTAAAATGGTCTTCCCAAAAAAGGTTTCCCTTTTTTGCCCAGGGTCACTGAACAACTGAGTATATAGCATTTACTTGCCGGTTCTCAGCAGGGAATGAGAAACGGAACGACCCCGAAGAAACCATCCCTTTCAGTTTCCATTCCATTCAGAGAGTTCCCAGGCCGGAAGGTCATTCCCTGAGCACCAGCAAGCAAACGCAACAGAATTGGTGGGGCGAAAAAGACGAACAGCCAGGTGGTTTGTTCATAGTATGGGTTGATGGGTTGAGCAAGCTTGTTTGCACGGGGTGTGAGCCTTCCTGTTTGTTCTTGCATTTAACACACCTGCCACTTCAGGTTGGTAAGGGCTTGCCTCTAGGGATGTTAGACATTCGCATTGCAAGGGTTCCTGTGAGAAACATGCCCCACAACCCACATAAAGAGTTTTGAGCATGGCACACACGGGATTACTTGCGACAAAGACATACTGTGGATGGACGAAATCCTGCACCACTTTGAAACCATGGGAAACCATTGTTTGTTGGTATTTACAAGGGAATCATAATTCCAGGGTTTCTTGGGTGGTGCAGGATTTCGTCCATCCACAGTATGTATACGTCAAGTTGCTTAACAATAAGTCTTATGTTCCGCGTTGGTTTTATGGGAAGCTATCACTACTGTGTTTCCCTTTTTTCCCAGGGGACTGAAGCAAATGGAGGTATATCTTCAACCTTTTGGTCAAGGGGGTACTGTTGAGCCAAAATTCCTCATGATCAATCGAGGGACAACACAAATAATGAATGCAACTGACACGCTAGGTGAAGCGCTTGCATGATCACTAAGACACAGGTGTTCAGCAGGTTATTATGACACATGGAAGAAATAACGCGTACATTATCAGTAACACACTGTCAGCCCCCGATTCATTTAGACATGCGCCAGAGCCAAGAAAGCCAATGCAGCTGGGCCAGTTATGATCAGACATAAACGTCTCATGGCTTCCTTTGCGGGAGTACACCGTCCCCACTCAACCCCAATAGTGAGCTTGGCATCCGGCGTATGGTGACTTAACTGGATAGGGCCTAAATCATGGGGCTGAGAGGGAAAGGGAACTTTCTGACATTGGAGTTCATTGCAGTGGGGTCGCTACTGGAATCATGGAATGAGCCTTAACACATATCCTTATGCAGGGCTCCTTAACAGATACACATTGCCCGTTTGAAGCATGGCTTTTTCAACACCAAAATAAAGAAATGGAAACAACACCATTTACAAGTTGCAATGTTCAGGTGTTTTTAATGCATCCGGATCCCTGTGGTTCATACAGGCACAATTGGACCCTCCATTGGGCTCTGGGTCTATTTGGAAGGTTCCCCATTCGATGCTTGGGTCATTCCCTCGCGTGAGAGCCACATCAATTTCGCACCAAGAAACCCTGGAATGATAATTTCAAGCAAACAAACAAAACCAAACAATCAAACAAACAAGGAAACAAACCAGCAAACAAACAAAGAAACAATCCATGGTTTCAAGCTTCTCTGGAAATCGATGATGATGATGATGATGATGATGGTGATGATGAGGATGGTTAGCATGCTCTACCAACAAACACGCAAGGATAAGATTGAATATGATGATGACGATTCCCTAACTTCTCTACAGGACCTAGTTACCATGCCCTGCCACGGTTTCGTATTTTCCCTTTTCGGCTTTCGCGTCGAATCGCAGGTCCTGGCGGCGCCTTTGCGGCGGTCGCGGGAGGCTCTGGGTCTGCAGGCGCCGGACGAGGCGCCTCGGCCGCCGGCGCCGGGCGCGCCGGGCGCGCCCCCGCCGCCGCCGCCGCCGCGGGTGCGGAAGGAGATCCAGGAGACACAGAGGTGTTCAGTGGATTGAGGTGTTCATTTAGGTTCATTTGGTTGTGTGTTTGTTTGTTTAAGTTAGTTAGTTTATTTGTTTGTTGTTGTTTGTTTTTTTGTTTCCCTTGAAACAGACTACCGACAAAAAGGGTACAAAACGTGCGCCCCCTTTTTGCCCCATGGCTAGGGGTCTGGGAATCTAAAACCTGGTCGGGGGGTAGGGGGACGCTCACCCCAGCCACGAAGGGTCCTGTCTTTCTTTACACGTTTTGTTCTTTTAGATAAATAGTCTTTTTCATCTGATCCTCCCCCCCCCAAATGGCTTTGGTTACCTTGAGTTCCCCAATAAAACCAAGCCGAGAGGGGGTCCGCTAAAAAAGCCACCCCCATTTTGGGTATGCCTTGTCTTTCTTTACATGCCGGGTGTCGATTGCGACTCATTTGCGAGTGTCCGTTACACGCAATCCGCATCCGAGGCTAGTCTAGCATCGTGTCCATTCCACTCTTTATATATCTTTATATGTTTGGTTTCCTTTCTGGACGGAATCCTTGCTGGGGTTGTCGTGTGGGTGCTTCCTAGTTAACTGAGTTTGCTTGCCACGCGGAATTGTTTCCTGGTGATGGTCAACTTTGGTGGTTAATCTAATTGGTCGATTGGTCAACGACTTGTTTGTCACGTAGGAGAACCACCCGACTCATTGGATCGATTTGCTAGGCATGCGGATTTTTTTGTTTGAGGCAGATAGACGCATCTCCTTGGAATCACATGTAGTATTTGGAAGAACGCCGCGACGAAAATCACACTGAGTCTCATTAAGTTCTGGTCGAACCCTATGGAAGATGCTCCAAGAACACGGAGGAATATCAGGTTGGGCTTGGAATCGTCGCCAACACACTTGGGTTATGGTGAACTTGCTTCAGCTTGGGCGATATGACTGACTCACTAAATGACCGGGTTCCCTATAGGAATTCCTTGTGCTTCTCAGAAAAGACACAGTCCTTGGCATATGTTTGCTGCTCATGTTTGGAAGGAGGCCGCAAAAAGCGTGAAGTTTTTTTGCTGCAAGCATGCGAAGGGTTTGTGAAGAAAAGGGACACCGTGGCACGCGTGCGTTTCCAAACCAACTGCAGCAAACCAACTGCAGCCAAACCAAACCAACTGATTTTTAGGGCACCAAACCAACAATCAGCCCAGGGGAAGCCCATCTCTTTGAAGGTGACCAGAATTTGGCGCGGGTGAGGTGGTTTAAAGGGATTTGTCGACAGCTCCAAGGTGGACTAGGTCCCCCAGTAGCGCCCTTTTGCCCTTTTTGGGGGGAGGGTTCCCATAGTAAAATAGGCTACAGAAAACAGTTGGTAGCCTTATTCTAGCCTCTCAAATCTGGAGGACCTGGTTGTTCTGTACTTTTGGCTACCCAATCATATCCATTTGAACTGGTTCATCACCTGACAAAACAATGAGACTGCTGGCGTTGGACTCAGCTTCTTGCACGTTTTTGTGGCCTGAAGGAAACCAATTTGAGGGCCCACCATTTAGACATACCCACATGGAGATTGCATGGTCAAAACAACTGTAAATGTGACTGCCTTCCAAGTGTCCGAGTGGATAACCAAACACAGAATCGAGGGCATTTCTAGGTATGGGGAGATCTGGAATGCTATACACGGGCAATATAGCCCCCTGTACAAGTGGTATATAGCCCCCATACCTCCAAAACCCATTCCTGAAATTGCCCTTGAAAGAACGCTACTAGCCATGAATTAATCTAAAAAGATCTTGCACCACTGCGCAGCCCCAGAGGAGCTGTCGAACGCAGAGTCCGAGTGGATGGGTTTTAATACAATGCCCCTTTGCTGCAGTGGTCCGGTCACTTCACGTGGATGTTTTGCCGCATGGATCCATTGACATGTTTCCCCTTGGCAGATTGTGCTGGGCAGTGTGGATATAAGTTTGCTGTGCCAAGTATTTGCCAACCAAATCAGTTGGTCGGTTTAGGACCTGCGTTTTGCCAACCGAATCAGCAGTTGATCGGCCAAGTCTTGGTGTTTCAATGCGGTAATGAGTCTCCGGCCCCAAGTTTTTGCCGACCAAATCAGCAGTTGATCGTCCAAGTCTTGGTGTTTCCATGCGGCAATGAGTCAGCAGAGAACACACCACTGGTACATGTCATGTGATTGGTCATATCCTTCTCGAGCTGACAAGCTGTCGAGTCAATCAGCTGGTGCTCGGCTTAGTGCCAAGGATAAGGAGAAAAGAAGATGGGCCCATCGTCCCAGAGGCGAAGGCTGGATGGCAGGTGCTTTGCTAGGAGGCCCTTGATTCCAGTTTTGGGTGGGTGTGCGTGTGTGTGTGTGTGTGGTACAGAACTCTAGGGGTTGATTCCTTGTCCATTCTTGTCAATCATCGTTCTTTTCAGAAACCGGCTGTTTCGCCTGGGTGTTTGATGGTTTCCTGAAAAGAAGGATTCAAAGTGGTAAAGCAGGCATGAGAATCAACCATGTTGGTATCACAGAAAGAGTCGTCCCACACAACCATGTAGGGAGTTCACAACAGGGTGGGCGGTTTCACTGTTGCTTTCTCTCTCGGGGGAGAAAGACAAAAAAACACCCTAAAGAGGCTGCTGTCGAGACACATACGCACACACATTGTGCCCTTTGTGTTTGTTTTGGTTGCTTGGCCCGTTGTTTGTTGCGTCTGCATGCAAGATGTTCAAACATCTTCAACGAAGATGTAGGGCTTTCCAGAACCTGCCATGAGCACTGCAAAGAGCGTCACAGCGAAGTTCTTGGGGCCAAACGGCAGTCCGAAAGGCATAGAGTTGACAAACCCGGAACGAGCCCTGAGTGGGGTGCTTCCTGTTTCTTCAGGGGGTCCTTTTCATGCTTGGGCTTCCAAACAAGGGGAGCCAGCCCTGCTACGTTGTTTCCATTGAATATATTTTTGTTTAAATTAACCAAACAAAGGAAACAGGGAGGGTTTTAAAGGAACCTTTGTCCTTTTTCCTACCACCAAAACTACAATTAAACATAATCCCTGGAAAAGGGAGGGTTTTCAAGGACCCCCCTTTTTCCGTGCATGGTTGAACACCGCTGTTTTGTTGGAGTTTGGAGCCCCCACAAAGAGCGAGGGCCCTTCGACTCGCTTCTTGGCGCGAGGGCATCGTGGACCTGGCCGCGGCCAAGGCGCCGGTGGCCGTAGGCACTGGAGGTCCGGAGAGCTGGAGCCTGGCGCCGGCGCCGGGGGAAGACTCCGGCGCCTCGGCGGGTGGGGTGGGGCGAGGGTCGGGGTGGGGTGGGGTGGGTGGGGCGGGGTGGGCGGGGTGAGAGGGGTGGTGGGCGGGGGGTGGGGTGGGGGTAGTGGGGCGGGGTGGGGGTGGTGGGGGTGGGGGTGGGTGATCTTTGGCCTCTGGAGAGATCTCCTGGGCTGGGCTTCGGTGCAAAGTTTACTTCTTGTTGGCGGCAAAGGGGAAACGAAAATGGTTTAGAAATTCAAGGGGCAAAAAGCCCTATACAGCTAAGCTTTGCTAAGTCTGGCAATGTCTCTACATCTCGGCACAAAGCTCCGTAGAGTTCTGGCGAACACAGCCATTGCAAGAACATGACTGCCGTGTCGCAGATGTGTCGCGACATTGTCGTCCCCTCGGCTTGCACCGTGGCCTGCTCGACCTCGGCTGACTGGCCGTCATGCTTTCAGAGAAGAACACACACGCCTCGAACAGCACACAATTTGAGACTTCACACACTTGACAGATTAGAGGCCATGTATGTGGCGTGGCCCAGCCACTCCACTTGGACGCCCTGCGTCATCACGCGGGACAGCTCGGCTTTTGCATGCGCCTGTCCGTCCCGCCCCACACTGCGCGAAGCAAACCCGTTATGTAGTAAGCCCAGCTCGAGCCGTGGGCCAGGCAGCACTTTGGAACTAAGGATGTTTCCACGCAACTAGACAACAAAAAATCCCCGAGCTGCACAGTGCTCGGGTCCAAGGCTCCAAGGATGCCCCCAACAGCAGGCCGCATTGTCACATCACCGGGTCCAGGTCTAAGGCTGAGAGCACAAGAACTGAGGCAAAGGCAGTTTGTTCACTCATCACACAAGGCAACGCCAGGATTGGATTGCTTTTGCCACCATACTACCAAGGAGCCAGTTGGTGCCAGGCTTTTGCCGCGTGCGACGTGGACTTGACCCGGCCGTTCGTTGGAAAGGACCAGAAGCTGCCCTGCAGCTTCTTGCTTGGTTCCCAGGCGGTATGCAGAGGTTGACTATTACTCGGAGCTTTTTTGGGCAAAGGGCAGCTGCAAAAAGTTCACATGGCCCCACGCAGCCTTTTCTCAGGTCGTCGTGCAACGCAATCAAGTACCTGGCAAAGCGTAAGTTCGAGGGATGTTCCGTGCCTGGTCGCCGCAAGGCCCTCAGGGACAACACTGGCTAAACGGTCTTGGGGCGTTTGTTTGCATTGGGTGCCACTCATTTTGGGTGCCACTCATTTCATGTTTTCAAAAAGCGACTGCTTCGACAAACAATCCATGGGAACGATAGGAAGACAAAAGCGCCAAGACATCTCTTGCTGTTGGAGGGTCAAGGGGTTTTCTGTTGCTCCTTCTGCGAACAGCCAAAAGTGAGGGTGGGCGAAAGACGTGGAAGCCTGCTGACAAAAATGGCAAACATGAAGCGTTCCCGACAGGCTGCTTTCCACTCCATCAGGGCAAACACCTGCTCCATCATCCCAATCTCCCTTTTTGACAGGTCTTGCCATAGACAAAGAGGTGTGGCACACTGAAGTTGTTTCTAGCAACGAACGTACTCAGTAAGTGAAGTTGTGTCAAAACTTCGGCGTTTTTGGGGTTACTTTTCTGGGGCCACCTGTTTTTTGAGACCCCTGGTCGCTTTGCAGTGCTTTGAGCTTTCTGCGCTTTCAACCTCGAAACGCGACCTTTTAGTACAAGTGCAGTACACAAAGTACGAAGAACACTTTGGCAGCCCCAGCTTCAAAGTCGCAACCTTTCAGTACACGTGTAGTACAGGAAGTACACTTTGGCAGCTCCATCTCGAAGATCGCAACCTTTCAGTACAAGACACTTTGGCTGAGTTTCATGCACGGTTGAAGAGAGGCTGAGCCACCATAATTTGCACTTTGGCCGGCCTTGAGCGGCGGGCAGAAAAATAGTAGGAGACTTGGCCAAGTGTCACTATGTACGTGCCAAGTCACTGGCTCAGCCCCTTGTTCCTACCAACGCAAGCCAGAATCATTTCTTTTGTGACGCATGTGCGCTTTGAGGAGCTTTGCCAAGTGTCAAAAATTGCTTTTTTGCATGTGGCCAGCCAAGTGAGAGTGATGCCCGTGAGAGCGACGCCAGCGACGCCGCCATAATTTGCACCTTGGCCCGGCCTCGAGCGGCTTGCAGAAAAGTAAGTAGGCTGTTGTGAGTTGTGACTGTTCTTGGAGCGCCAGCTTGGCCAAGTTCACAATGTATGTGCCGAGTCACTTTGGCTCAGCCCCTTGTTCCTCCCAGCCAGAATGCCATTTTTTCTGTGGACAGCATGTGTGCTTTGAGGGGCTTTGCTAAGTGTCAACAATTTGGTTTTCAATGTGGCCAGGCAAGCGAGAGCGACGCCCGCGAGACAATATGCCTCGCCAGATTCTGGCGGACCTCGCATAATTCTGTAAACGGCTGAAGAGAGGCTGAGCCACGATAATTTGCACTTTAGCCCGGCCTCGAGCGGCTTAGGCTGCGGTGAGTTGTGACTTGTTCTTGCGGGCGCCAGAGGCTTGGCCAAGTGTCACTATGTACGTGCCGAGTCACTTTGGCTCAGCCCCTTGTTCCTAACCCACGCAAGCCAGAATGACATTTCTTCTGTGGACAGCATGTGTGCTTTGAGGGGCTTTGCCAGGTGTGAAAAATTGCTTTTTTTGATGTGGCCAGCCAAGAAGCTGTTCGCCAGCTCCACTCTGATCAACGGGCCCGAACGGGCGGGGTCTGGGCTTCGAACCTAAGGAAAAGGATGACGACCATCTACGTAGACAGCCGCAAGAGGGGGGCCGGCTCGGACAGCGACTTCGAGGTCGACCTGGGGGAGTCCCTGCACCTGCAGAGCAACGCCCGCCCGTGAGGTGCTCGCGACCGTGGCCGCGAGCAGGGCTGCGCGTAGGCTTGGAGATCGCTCCACGTGCTGTCATTGGGGCCAGATGTTTGCCCGTAGCCACGCTAAATGCCATGACTAGCCATCAGTTGAGATCCCCATAGTCTAAGTGCCTTTCGTTCACGAGGGCTTGGTGATCACGGAGCAACGCACAACGCCTATTTGCGTGCTTAGCGGGGGATGTTTGCTAGTAGACACGTCGTTTTGCGGGGCACACTTTGACTGGCATCCTTCTACATATTACCCGCACCTATATGGACATGCTGGCCAGCGAGTCAAGGTGGCATGAACACAGCGAATGGCAAGCGAACTCCGCCTTGCCCTTCGCAGCTACGCGAAAGCCTTCGGCAAATCTCTCTGCGAGGAATTGCGTCTGGCCTGCGGGCGGGCGGTGCAGGTTCCACGGGGCGCCGCCAAGTTTCCAAAGAACAGCGCAAGACGGAAGATTTGTGGGCGCAGGGTAATGGCGCAGTTTCACGCAATGCTCAGCTGGAATTCCAAGTGGCTGTTCGTGACGGGCCCTGCCTGTATTGAGGCCGCCCGGCCGCGTCCCCACGCTTTCGCTGAAGTCAGACAGCGCCACTGCGCAGGCAAAACTTCGCGCTTCTCTCCTTTGTCCGCCTTCTCCGCCTTCTCTATCCTCTTCTTTTTTTGGGGGGGTTCCGTAGGTGTGTTTGACTCTGCATGACTCTCCCATTGACCAATTGTACGTTACACCCCACCGTCACCTGGCGTCAAAGCGAGAAAGCTGACGCTTGTAATTAGCCAACGATCCCCTATTCCAGGAAAATGTATATAGGGGGGACCTAGGTACCCTCTGCATTCTATGTTTATACATTTTTCTCCCCATGTAGAATCTATAGTGCGCTATCATACGTGAGATTACATGAGATTTGCTTTGCCATCATGTCTGGTCACATGTTCAAGCAAGTGTGAGAGCATCTGATCCTTGTCGCCGCCCCGACCCCACTTTGACAAGCGATTTGCGCGCATATTGATGTTGGACAGTCAGACCACCTTCCGGAAGGTTTCCTAAAATGGTTTCCTTAGATGCCCCGGGCAAATCCTGGGGCTACGCTGTTTGCTGCATGGAGGTGAACTATTCGTATGGTTTGTTCACGAGCGGGGGATGGTCAAGGGGGATACCAAATACCATCAAATACCCCTTGTTTGCAGCAGCTTCGCCCCTCTGGGCAGGGGATGGCGCCCTTGAATGAGGGGCGCGCGAAATGCATAAACGTGCGCAAACTGCTGTTGTTCATTAACATGGGAATGCGTCAGGCCAGAAATGTAATACACTCAGGGGCGCCCACCCCGGCCAACGTGGGGTGACATATGGTGACATGGATCTGTTGCTTCAACCAGCGCTGGCCATAGTCAATGGCAGGAGGGTCAGCGCCCATTGCGCGCTCATCCCCCCCTCGTAGTTGCAGCCCATTGCTACCTCGAAACGTTTCGAGCTTGGGCAAAATCGGTGAGTTCTCCCTTGCCAGGACCCGGAAATAAAGGTGATCACAGTGATCACCATTTGGGGCCACTGAAAATGCCAAAAGCTCGCTTTGAACGAGTGAACAAAGAGGCCCCACCTCCACAAGCGAAACCAACGGCTGAAGCATGAGAAACAAACAGTTCCTGTGGAGGAAGCTCGCGAAATTGAAAGCCCAAAGGTGGTGGTTGAAGCAATGGTTTAGGCGCATGCATACAAAGGATTGAATCGCCTATAACCCTGGTCCACATGCTCTCCGCCGAAAGTGGGCTACTCAAAACACCAGAGTCTTGATCAATGTTCCACTGTCCACTGCATCTATTCTATTCCCTGCTCGAACTCCGATTTCTACATCTTTCACACAGTCGTGGACATTCGAGTCATTCCCAACTGTGCTCGGCACAGGTTTGTCTCAGTAATTGGATATGGAGCCCACAAAATCTGTAGTCTGTCTTTAGTTTCCCATTGAAAAAAAAGCTGATAAGCAAAACCAACATTGCCACAAAACAAAACAACGAGTTCGCACAAAACATAACATGTCCCAGCAAAACACGGCCATGTCCCACAACATCTATGACGAGAACAAACACGCTTCTGCAAATGTGAAAAAAAGGTCAGCCAGTCAA